AATAAATAAATAAAATGTATTGTGCTGCTAAGCAACAAACTGAAATGTTTAAGAAAAAAAAATCTGATTTTACTTACAAAAAGAACGCTACTCTGAAATCGAGGTTTAAGATGTCTAAATCAATAGAGTAAGTAAACGTTCGAATTTTACACTTTCTTGGGTCAAATGTTTGTTCTAAAAGTGGACATTGCAATATTCTAGATTTTTTGCACATTCAGTCAGAAAACCTTATGGTCTATTTTAATTTTGAAATTAAAATAGACCATACAAATTAGTTCGTTTAAATCACTCAAAGATTTAATAAATTATATTATACCTATATTATTATTAATTTTTTAATAAATTATATTATGAAAATTTGCTTTTAACTTTACGAAATTAAAAATACATAAGGGCAAGGATATTTTTAGTTATGTCAGCAGATTTTACTTATCAGTGACTCATAAGGCAACAACGACTAGCTCATACGTTCACAGAGGTAATTAATGAATACCAAATAGTCCAAAATCATTCTATTAGGTTCATCTCTGTGTTGTGCATACAAGATCATGTTAAAGTTTGACCTACTAAATCAAACTTATAATAATAACTTAAGTCATTACTTTTTAAAAATTGGGCTTATTTATTTATTATGGTAGCATAAACAGAAAAAACAAGTAGTTTCATTTATTTTATTAAATGTTAAAAAAACGGTAACTCTAAACATAAAAGTAAAGCATTTCTGTTGGATCATAACAAAATATCACAAAATAAAACAACTTCTTAAAAAATACTTACCCCATAACCTGGGTCCAGATTTGTGTACATATTGTAGATGCTGTAGAAGTAAAAAACTGTGCTAAATTCTAGCTCCCCATAAATACAGATGATAACACTTTTAACTTTTTGTTCACAACTTTCAAATGAAGCATATTAGAAAAAAACTTTTGAAATGCAAAATTTAACACGTAAGATTTTTTTTTGCACAATAAAGGAGTGGATAACCCCACTTGATAAATTTTCAGAGGTAATTTTCCCCTTTAAAAGTGTTCAAGGGCACCTAGAATTTTGCACAGTTTCTTACTTTAGTATTCTCTACGATATATACTTGTACAAATCTCGACGCAGGTTGAGGTTACATTATCACAAATTTTAATCACATCACTTAAAAAAAAACTAGAATTAAATCAAATATTTTTTCAATAATTTTTTTTCAAAAACTATACTGCCTCTTCTGGGTACCTGAGGTGGAGGTAGTTTCATTATATATTCATTTTCTTGGATATCCCCCTGATCTTTAATGTCCGGAAACATAAAAGCATCTGGAATTTTTGGATTCCTTTTCAAAAAATCACAAAAAATAGGGTTACCAACGTAACATTTTTTGTTTTGTTTTTGAGTTGTTAATTGTACTATAATATAATCGTCTATATTTAAGTCTGGTTTAGAACGATCAGTCTTACTATTTTCAGCCCTGAGATTCAAACGAGGATTCAAATCATCAGAATAATTGGAAGAATTCAAACTTTCGGTGTCCGTGTTGTCATCATATTCGATACTACTTGGATTGTCTAAATCAGATGAGTCACTTGATATATTATAGCGTCCTTTTTGTTTTCCAATTTGGACTGGTTTTTGAATTTGAGATGCATCTTTATGTTGAAGGCAGGTATCTGTTTCTGAGTTAACTCTACTACTATAACATTTCTTATTTTGAATAAATCTTTTGAGACGATCCACACTGACGCGATCCTTTTCATTGTCTAACAGCCAGCAAAGTGAAGACTTTTTTATAACTTTTGTTGTATTATCTAAGCGTATTCTGACCAGATCACCTTTCTCAACAAAATTATAGTCACTATCAAAACTTCTAAGGTGTATGTCTCTGTCAAATTTCTTAGATTCGTACGCAATTGTGCAAAAATCATTCAGTAAATCTTCATCTTGGTCAACTGGATCGTTTTCCAAACTTTGAAAACAGTTACGTTTCATGGCTATTTGAGAATTGTTGTAATGTTCAATGTGATCGCACTGTTCTTAACTAAACATTTCATCTTCAACTTCGTCATTGCATTCATTGTCTTTACAGGGAGGCAAAAATACATAGTTGAAATCTATCACTTTCATTCCTAAATCTTCAGTGTCACGCAGACAATCCCGTAAAACTGATTCTACGGTGCTTTGTATATCTTTATCTGAAATGCTTCCTAAGTCATCATTTTCACAAAATCTCTCTTCATGATTGAACATTTTTCCTGATTTCTCTAGAAAAAACGAATTTTTTATCCAAATCACATATCTCTTATACTAAAATTAACAATTGTGCTAAAAGTTGAGGTCATTGATCTAAGGCTTCTAAACATACTCTCACAAGTTTGAGAGCTAAACTTCCAAGGCAAGAACATATCATCAGTAAGATTACTTTTTTGAAAAATTTTAATTATTTTTATTAATGCGTGTCCATTGAGTTCAACGCATGTATAGCAATTGGAAGATAAAAAGTTATGTTTTACTGTATACTGTCTTTATCCTTAATCCACTTTTTCCATATTCGTAGGAGAAATATGCAATACCAAATGTTATATACCCTTTCTACAATAGATAACGTTTTGTCCAGGAATGCTGCCGATATAAGATACATTAGTTTCGAATAAGCTATTGTTCCTGCACTATTGTCAATGTTGTCGGCTATCATTTTTCTTACTTCCGGGCTACACATTTTTTCGGCCGCTGCATAGTTCATTTTGTCTTCTGCTTTCAAATCCGTTATTGTTAGCATATGTTGATCTTTGGTGTAACTTTTTACTAACATTTCAAGGTGAGCAACTGTAGCAACGTAATTCCTTAGAGGTAATATTGAGTCTGATTTTACAAACTTTGTTCTTAACTTTGTGATAATATGTATACTTGGACATACCACGTCAGATCGCTGTCACTGAAACCCATTTGGTACCATTCCCAATTATTCAAATGATTTTCATCGGATGAAATAGGTAGGCTTCTTGATTTCTCGTTGATTTCCTCTTGATTTCTTTTTGATTTCCTGTGATTTCTTTTGATTTCCTCTAGCGTGTACAATTGATTTCTTCTGCGGTTTACCCCTCGTAGCAATCTGACGCTCAAGTGTTTATTTATGTTTATACATCGAAAGAATGTCACGTGGGATTAATTTGATTTGAGTTTGCCTTCTCAAAACACAGGACTAAAGTTATTAATTAAACCACAAACGAACAAAATGTTCTGAATATTATAATTCTTATGTGATATTATTATTATAATTGAACCTTGAGGCAAATTCTCTCAGGTGATCTGCAACTGTGGGCGTAATTTATTTAAAGTGTTAGGAGGATGAAGTAAAGGACGCAACGTAGATTTAAAAAAAGAACTACTGTAATAAGTACATCTACAGATGACAACAATAGTAGTTTTACCTCATCCTATGTAAAAAGAGCATGGTTTTATGTAGGCAAGTTTGATAAAGGTGCAGAAATTGATGCAATTAAGACATATATAGGAAAACGCTTAAAGAATTCTGAAGTAGAATTAATAATTGAGAAACTTCCAGCAAAAGGTAGCTTCCAAGCTTTTAAATTAGCGGTGCCTTTTGTTCACAAAGAGGTCCTCCAGAATACAGAATTTTGGCCTAAAGGTATTATACTGAGGCGTTTTAATTTTCCTAAGACTAATTTTTTATGATTACCAAAAACCATTGTGTGAGTTTGGGGACAAATCTTAAAATAACGTACGTGGTCTGAATTGTAAAACACATCTACTACTAAAAAATTGTTCTGGTCAGTGTTTTGATATGATTGCGCTTACAGAAACGTGGCTTTACGACTCGATCTATGATTCGGAATTATTTACCTCGGAATTTAATGTAGTACGATGCGACCGGAAATTTGCAAGGGTAGGTCGAACTAAGGGTGGTGGAATCTTGCTTGCTATCTCTAATGCTATCCACTTCTCTATAATTGATACGATGTTTCTTAACGACCTCGTTCCAATTATTGATATCATGTAGGTGTATTCTTTCTAATATACATTATCTTATTGCTGTTGTTTACATTCCACCTGATGTCAGCTATCAAGTTCTTGAAATATTTCTCAATGCGTTGGAAGTTCTTTTAATAAATGAAAATGTTATACTTATTGGCGACTTCAACGTACTACAATTTTCTAAACAGGGCGGTGCATTCTGTCATAAAAGTTCAGTCCCTACAGACTTCTGCAATGTTGTAAAACTCACCCAATGCAATTCGATTAGCAACTTTTATGGCAACATATTAGATGTACTGTTTGTCAATAACACTGGTCAGTTCAACATTGATCATCTCATTCCAGCTCTGGTGCCGGAAGACAGGCATCATCCAGCTCTCTTTATAACTGTTACCATTCCGTTGACCACTAAGAATTCTTCATTTCCATCTTCTAATAAGTGCCGATACAATTTTCGTAGAGCTCATTTTTGTAGACTTTATGAAGATCTTTGTGATATTAACTGGTCATTTTTTGATTTAATTAATGACGTGAATCATGCCCTTGATAAATTTTATGATTCATTGTACCTAATTATTAACCTATATATTCCTCTGACAAAACCGAATAAGTCTAATTTTCCACCCTGGATATCATCCAATATTAAACAGATTATAAAAACAAAAAATTATCACAGACATCTATGGATGAGAACACGTTGTCCTTATCATTATCAAAAATTTAAAAAATTGAGAGCTGTGCTGAAACGTCAAATATCCGAATCTTATAATTTTTACCTTGCTAGAATTCAAGAGGATGTTAAGTCCAATCCTGCTGCGCTTTGGAGATTCTTACACCAAAAGAAAGGTACTTCCAGAGTACCTAATCAACTTGTTGATGATAACAACGAATATGCCGACCCACAGAAAATTGTTGCAAGTACATTTGAAAGAGCATTTTCCCCGGTTGATTCGTCTCCTCCTCAATTCTCCTCTTGCTCACTATCATCATTTTCTCGTGTCAAGGAGAAAGATCTAATCCCTATAATGGCAAAATGGTCGAACAATCTAACTGCTGGAGATTATTCAATCCCTAGCTTCATGGTTCGAGATTGTAGGTTTTTGCTGGCGAAGCCTTTAGCCATAATAATAAATTTGGCCCTACGTTCTGGTTCGTTTCCGGGTCGCTGGAAAAGAAATAGAATTATCCCAGTTTTAAAAAAGGAGAACCCACATCTGTTAAGCAATTATAGACCGATCTCCATCCTTCCCAACTTTGCAAAAATTGTTCTTTATCGGTGTATAGATGGAAGCGTTCATAGCTACATTTCTGAGAATCAACATGGATTTATGACGGGACGATCCACTGTTACAAATTTAGCTGTTTTGACCCAAGATTTAAGTGAGTCACTGGATAGAAGGGGTCAGATAGATGTTATCTATACGGATTTTTCTCGTGCCTTTGACGCTATATCGCACAACATCTTGCTCGTTAAATTGCATCGCTTTGTCTGCTCTGATACTTTACTGAAATTATTATCATCCTATTTAACGGGTCGGGTAAATTAAGTATTTTACAATGGGTACACATTGTCTGAATTTATATCTGCATCAGGAGTCCCATAGGGCTCCAATCTTGGTCCATTACTTTTTAACATTTACCTGAATGATCTCTTCTCCTCGTTAAGATGCTCCTGCCTCGCCTATGCCGATGATGTTAAGATCTACAATAGTATTTCATCGATAGTAGATACTGCACTACTTCAGACGGACCTTGACAAGATAGTGGAGTACTCATCCGAAAATAAACTGTTTTTGAACACAAAAAATTGTTATTATGTCACATTTACACGTAAGTTACAGCCAATTGTCACCTCATATAGAATCGGTTTAGAATTATTGGAACGAAAGACATCTATTAAGGACTTGGGAGTGATATTTGACTCGGAACTTACCTTCAATGATTCAATTTTCCTTCGGTTTTTATTTGTGGTTTCAGCGGGAGCTCACCAGACCACCTAGAGATCCGTGTCTCCCGCTTTAGAGCAACCTCGGTGCTCCCTCCCCGGAAAGGGAGCTGGCGCCCGATCACCGCCGCTCCCGACCCAAGGCGCCACCCCCGGCGACGCCTAAGTCGGCCAAGGCTTGGCACCGAGGAACGCCACTCCCACGTGTGCAAGCTCCAAAGTGTTGAAGCAGCCAGTGGTCCCTTCACCTCCCGTGATTTTTTTGTAATGTTACAACTCAATTTTAAATGAAAAACGTGACCAACAAAATTTGTTTATTTAAGTTACGTATTCACAAAATTCTAGCATCCACCTGTTTACTTAAATGAAGGCTTAATCTTAATCTAGCATATACAAATTTTATATGATTTACAGTTAAATCAATAAATAAACCTAAATACCTGACAGCAGAATACAAAATACATTAAAAGAATTATGGTTTTGTTCACAATAAGCAACATAGTAAATTTTTTCAAGTGGTTTAGTGACATATACTTTTATCCACTAATGGACCAGTTTGTTAGTATTTATAAGAAAACTTCGCAAATTTTTGTCCTGCTGGACTTTCAGCATATATTTTGTCCCAGAATGCCACACTTTTATGAAAAAATCTAGGCTGAAATGATAACTTTCTGTCTATTTTAAGAACCCCAATTTGTTCATTTGTCGCTTTTCCCCAAATAACTGACGAAAGATTTTTCGTTGGATTTCCGTAATACGCAAAATTTGTCCACAATTTAATAAATATTCTGATGAATTTATATTCTACCGAGTCTGGCGACAGTGGAGGTGTGAATATAGTTTTAAACAAGTAAGCTACATCATCACCATGCGCTGCTCCTGAAAGATGCGAAATTCTGCCTTGGACTGTATTAAGTGTACATACATACCCTTCCCTTTATCTTTTTGCGTTAATACTTGATGAAATTTCAAGGAGGTTTCCAGTGACATTCTATAAAAGTAGACAGGGGAATGTGAACTTTTGACATGGAGTCTAATAGCTGCATAAATTCCATAAAGAAACCCATGATCGGTCACTACCTACAGAAAGCAAAATATTAGTAGCCTTGCAAATACTCGTACTAAAGCGATTTTTACACTATAAATCTGATCTTGCACACTTTGATCACGTTTGTTGTTTCCAAAATAAAATTCTTGAACTTTTTGTGCAACAATTCGACTTTCTTGTGTACCACGTTTATAACCAAGAAAACGCGACAAGTTAGATTCAGGATCGTCTACCATGTCCAATGATCTTTCTGGTCGGTAACTATCAACAACTGAGCCTTCTAAATCTGTATAACCCATGATTAAAGGCACTTTACTAAAATTTCCCGATAAAATTATATCCAACGGATCTTCACACATGAACGGTACTTCCCCTTGTTGCTCAAATGGTCGCTCTATGACTAATCCATACACATTTGTAGCGTTGGGTTGTACTACCTTGAGATATTTTTTATTTCATTACGTTATTGTTACACAGTGTTACTTACGTACTGGATTTTAGATTGCTTTTTGAGTAGTTCTTGTACAGATAACCTTTGTAGATGTTCCAAAAACTCCAAATCGGATTTTCCTTCACATCCAAAGACGGCATACACATCGTCATCTGCTTTTCTGGCTCTGCACCATGGATTTAGTGCACATCCACTCTGAGCTATGGCTTTGTGAAACAGACCTTCAGCCATTGGTGACAACATCAGCAAGTGAACTGCCCCACCGCCTACGCTTCCTCCAAATATAGTAACGTTCTTAGGATTTCCATTGAATCGCTCTATGTTGGCTTGCACCCATTTTAAGGCCATAACCATATCTTTAAACCCGGCATTACCAGGAATTCCTGCTGATGGATCATTTAAACTTAAAAATCCTAAAATTCATAACTCGTGTCATACACAGAATCACAAAATAATATTTTAACAACCTAGCAGTCCTAGCCTGTAATTGATTGACACTATAACAACTTTTTTTGTTATAAGGAATTCAGGACCATATAGGTTTGAGTTGTTTGAACCACTTAAAAAACCACCCCCATGAATCCATACCATGACGGGCAACAAATTTCTACCATTTATTGATAACTGCGAATATTCTAAATGTAATAAAACGTTTCAATCATGGTAGTACTTACATTTGGCGTATAAACATTTAAATTCAAACAATCTTCAGACCCGATCGGTACTTTTTTAAAAAGATCTATTGAGAAGCAGGAATTACCGTTTTGTGTAGCGTTAAAAATTCCTTCCCATGGTAAAGGCGGTAGTGGTGCCTAAAATTTTATAAAATGTTGTCGGTACGATGGTCTGTAAGCTTTATTTGATATTATTTTACTTTAAATCTTAGTGTTCCTAGAGGTGGTCGTGCATAGGGAATCCCCCTAAAACTGTAAAAAGCATTTCCATTCATATCCTTGCACACCGTTCCTAATAATTTTCCTTGTTTTATTTGAACTACTGGTTCCTCCATGCTAGGAAAAGTACGTAAGTAAAAAAAATAAATCTAATTTAATTTAAACATTGTTAAAAATCTAAGTTCCGATTGGGGTCTGAATATTAATCTCATTTGGAAAAATATGAGTAGAATGAGAATGGATCTGATGTGGTGTTATGGAATTTTGGAAAACTTATGAGCTAGTTTTAGTTCAATTATACCTTTTTCTATGACTCACCTCACAACTCTAGTAAACTATGAAAACAAAGCGTCACGCTAGCAGAAAACAATACAACTAACGTTCAAGGTTGTGGTTCTACGAATTGATTTCCATGAAAAATAATGAGAACTATTAATAATAATCTACGTAAATTACAAGCCGATACGTTATGCTTGCAATAGAACTGTACAACTAATGATTTAACGTTAAAAGGTTCACGATTATGGTCCTACGAGTTGGTTTCCTTGAAAAATAATGCAAACCATTAGCAATCCACGTAAAGTTCTAATTGCTGTTTTCTGTTTTCATAATTTTTATTCAGGCAACATTTTTAAAAACATGGTTGTGTACACAACTTCAAAAACAAAAACGCGGACAATTTGTCTCAGCACGTTCTTAGAAAATCGAACAAACAGATTCATATTTTTCGTTTTGTCTTATTCGGTATAACCTGTCTTCTCCTCAAGCAGTACCGTTTTCCGGTACCACAGCTCCTTTCCGAAGAAATCATTATAAAGTAACTTGCGTGCCTATCTCGTCTTTTTATTTGATTTTAAGTAACGACACAGTCTAACGACGATCATGATGGATGAGCACAAAGGCAGAGAGCAAGTTTTGTTAGAGGAATCTCGCTATCGAAAAAAGAGTGATCCGATTTCCCCGCTTTTGTTGATTTGATGTAAATGTTTTGATAAAAAAAGGTTGAAAATTCAGCTGGCAGCCATAGATCTAATCTACCCCAAGTGAGATAAGATTTGCGATTCTGCCTAGAGGAAACTAATTCACAGGTAAAGAGGGTTTGAGATCTATGGCTGGACGTTCTAATTAAGCTCGCGAGCCAGTGGCCCACCCAAGTTTAGTGTGGTGACCGAATTTAAATCAAAATTTTCGCGCTGAAATTAATTAACAGCGGTGCGAAATCACATTTGAATAACTTGAATTTGAGAAAGAAAAAAAAATCATCAAAAAAATCGTTAAACATAGGCAACCAGGTGCACGGTAACGCTTGCTGGATAGTGGATAATTCACCAATCAAGTTTTTTTAATTGGCAGCTACTGCTAACACAATTTAACAATCAGGATTATTAAAATAAACCACTTACTAGAAGATTTCATTAAATTGATTTAGTCAGGAAAACACCTTTGTTGTTTAATTACGAATAGATTTCTGGATACATATACGTAAGTGTTACATTATAACACTTCTTAATTCTTCACACAAGATTGCTAATAGTTCATTTACGGCAGTTAAATTAACAAAATTCATACTGCGAACTGGCGGGGGCTTAAAATAATTTCTTCCCTTAGGCGATTATCATAGTTATCATGATCACATCACTGAGGCATGTCCTCACAACGCTAAAGATTGACTACATCATCGAGGCTTGTCCTCACAACGCTAAAGATTGATTAATTTATCGAGGCATGTTCTCACAACGCTACAGATTGATTACTTCATCGAGCCAGGTCCTCGCAACGCTAAAATATACATCATCCAGCTATTCCCTCGCAACGATAAGGGCAATTTTTTTGCCCCCTCCTAAAAATTTTGTCTACTATTTCTTGCGCTCTCAAATCACGTGGTGTATGCTCACTTGTATGAAAGAACGTCTCCGCCCATTTAAAAAAAAAAACACAAGGTAGGTTCCCATTTGTTAGACAATCACAGCCAAGGCCAAATTTTGAATTTTTCGCGGACCTTTCGAACTTTTTCGAGGTCAATTTAAGGCGGGAAGTTTGGGTTATCACAACACCAATGATACTAACACTTACTGCTAACCGTTCACAGTGATTCTCAACGCAGAGTTGAGTTAGTTGTTCAATATTCTTACAGTTTACATCTTTTTTGAAAAGTATAAGAGAGCATCCGCGCTTCGAGGGTTTTCTGGAGTAGTACGATTTTGTAGAGAAGTTCTGTATAGTCAGAGTTTCCGGTTCTTGGTTATACCACCAATGTTCCGATACTCAAACTAGTGAGCAGTTTTCTCCCGCCAAAAGAACTTCAAATTCTGTTATTTTGAACGAATTGACTGTATATTAAGAACAAGTATAGTTGTACGTACTAGTTTGTGAGTGAGTAAGATATGAAGAGGGAAAATAAAAAACAAGTTCTAAAAAAATTACCTATAACCGTTTATTGACCTGCTGCAATTTGTTAAAATTTAGATGGAATCTTTGCAAATTTTTGGCCTAATGGACTTTCAGAGAATATTTTATCCCAAAACAATATACTTTTATGAAAAAATCTAGGTTGAAACGATAAGTTTCTATCTATTTCGAGAAATCCAATTGTCTCTTTCGTGGCTTCTTTCCACATGATTGAAGAAACATTTTTAGTTGGATTTCCGTAGTACGCAAAATTGGTCCACAACTTAACAAATGTTCTTATGAACTTATATTCGATTGAATCTTGTGACAGTGACGGGGTAAATATGGTTTTAAACAAATAAGCCACATCATCACCATGCGCTGCTCCTACAATATGTGGTAAAAAATGGTTTAGTTTAAATATTAAGTATACATACCCTTTTCTCTATCTACTTGCATTAATGCTTGAAGAAATTTGAGAGATGTTGTTATGGACATTCTATAAAAATATATTGGTGAATCTGAATTCCTAGTATGAAGTCTAATAGATGCATAAATTCCATACATAAACGTGTGATCGGTTACCATCTATAACACACAAATATGGCAGTAATGTTATTAACATTAAAAAGAATTTTACATCGTATAGCTGATCTCGAGTACTTTGACCCGGTTTCTTATTTCCAAAATAAAACTCCTGAACTTTATGTGCCACAATTTGACTTTCTGGTGCACCACGTTTATAACCAAGAAAATGTGGCAAGTTCGATTCAGGATCATTTAGCATGTTTGCTGTTCTTTTAGGTCGATAAGTATTAACAACCAAACCTTCTAAATTTGTACAACCCAAGATGAAAGGCACTTTACTAAAATTTCCTGATAAAATTATATCGAGTGGATCTTCACACATGAACGGTACTTCCCCTTGTTGTTCAAATGTTCTCTCTATAACTACTCCATACACATTTAATGCGGCAGGCTCTATAAACTTTATTTTTTACTTCGCTAGATCAATACTGTTAATCTAGTATTACTAACGTAGTCGATTTTAGATTGGTTTTGGAGCAATTTTTGTACAGATAAGTTTTGCAGATGTTCCAAAAACTCTAAATCGCTTTTTCCTTCACATCCAAAGGCGGCGAATATCTCTTTGTCTGCTTTTCTGCCTCTGGACCATGGATTTAGTGCACATCCGCTCTGAGCTATGGCTTTGTGAAATAAACCTTGACCCATTGGTGATAATACTAACAAGTGAACTGCCACACCACCTGCACTTTCCCCAAATATAGTAACATTTTTAGGATCTCCATTAAATTGTTGTATGTTCGCTTGCACCCACTTTAAGGCCATCACCATGTCTTTTAACCCGCTATTACCAGGAACTCCTGCTGATGGATCATTTAAACTTAAAAATCCTAAAATTCAAAATTCATCCAACAAGCTGAATACAAAGAGTTTAATAACCTAGTAGTCCTATTCGGTAGTTTATTGACACTATAACAACTTTTTCTGTTATAAGAAACTCAGGACCATACATATCTGAGTTGTTTGAACCACATATGAAACCACCCCCATGAATCCATACCATGACGGGCAACAAATTTCTACCATTTCTTGGTAACTGCGAATGTTATAAATCTAAATATAAACTTGTATATTATTGGATTGTACTCACATGTGGTGTGTACACGTTTAAATTCAAACAGTCTTCGGATCCGACATATACTTTTTCAAAAACATCTGCTGAGAAACAGCAGTTGCCGTTTTGGATAGCGTTAAAAATGCCTTGCCACGGTAAAGGCGGTAATGGTGCCTTAAACAATATAAAATATTATCTCTATGATGAATTGAAATTTGAAATTATTTTACCTTAAATCTTAGTTTTCCTAGCGGTGGTTGTGCATAAGGAATTCCTCTAAAACTGTAAAAAGCATTTCCATTCATGTCCCTGCATATTGATCCTAACAATTTTCCTTGTTTAATTTGCACCACTGGGTCCTCCATTCTGCAGACGAATATATGCTTGATGAAAAACAGAATAACAAGATCTTCGACAGATGTATATGTTTCTGTATTAAAAAGAAATATTTATTTTCACACCACTGTATTCCAAGTTATTAACAAATTTGGACTGAATTTAGGATGCAGACAATTAATATTTAAAAGATCGCTAAATTTGTTTCAGATTCTTGTTTGCTAACTTAATTTTTAACTAAGTCAATTTTTGTTGGAACAGGTGTGTATAAAATGAAAGGTATATAATGGAAATTATAATATCTTAATACAAAATACTTTAGGGTTGTAAATATAATAATAAAAAGTTTTCCAGGAAAGAATCCAAATCTTAAACGAAGTACAATGTCGTCATTTCATGCCGCGAAGCAAACAATACTGTTTAAATTGTGTGGCGACATCTACAAATAGCTTAGGGAACGAACACCGATGATTCTTAAAATTCGACTTACAAACGTCAAAGGTGTCAAGGTCTCGATACTGCATGATACATAATATTATAGTAAAATTTATTTCAACTTTTAGGCAACCAGTAATACTAAACTTGAAAGAAAAATGTTTAAAACTTTCCCAAAGGGCTCTTACATGAATGTCCAACTAATTCACCTGGTATATGATACACAGCTCTATACTGTTTATAATGTTTACCGTTATAATTTAGGACATCCACTGATCCACTAGAAAACGACCTTGACCATGAAGTACGAAATCAATAACTTCCACTCTGATGGCAGTGTATTATTCACAGACACCTCATAATTTTGTGCTGAGTGTATATCTATTTATGTGATTTGTTGATAGCAACGAAATATCGGTAACACTGGAAATACGTTGCATTTACACTGTGCAACATTATACACTAAACGGTTTCAGTTACAATTAACTATAGTCAGACAACGTAATATACACCTTGGTATACCTCGTTATCTATGCTTGTTATTGAGGTTGTATTTTTCTAATCTATGGTAAAGCGACGCGACAATGTTTAATATTAATTCACTGTGCTGGATTTGAAGACTTGTGAATATAATTCGAGTCTTATGCTGAATCCAGTGGTACTAATCGTTTTTAAAAGTTAGAAGTTTGCGTTTTCGAACAAAATCTTAAAAATGCTACGATTTATTGATCAGCGTGGATCGACTCTCTACTTTTACGTTTTCTTGACCTTTCATGACCCCTACACTACAAAGAAATAGGTCTCCCGTTTCCGTCTGTCTATCCGTCCGTAAATTTGAAAGAAAATTATAATGAAGCCCCGATTTACAAAAACTCAAAATACGGCTTCAGTGTGACTTTGTCCATTTTTTAGCAAGCATCAAATCGGTGCATAGAAGATCTTCCAACTCTTGCAAATATTTCCGAACCAAAATAGGATCTGCAAGCTTCAGTCATACGAATCTGAAGTTCAAAGGTATCGTTAAAAAGTGTTTGATAGAAACTTTTACAGTTCCCTGAGATTCGGACTTCGAGCAAGCAGAACCTCATCTTGTCCAATTAAATTGTTTTGTTCAGGTAGGTACCTTGTAAGGATATGATAATAAACAGGCGCGTCATCACGTCCCAGGCAACATGATGTCGTCTTTTTCACGTGAATAAATGGTCATCATTTACGTCATAGTGACCAAAGATTTCACGTGATATTGACGTACCAATGACGGTCAAATGTCTCGTCTAGATGACGTCATTTTGTAACGAATTATTGATGTGATTTACTGACGTCCTAGAGACGGCATTTATTGTCCATTTTAAGACGTTTTTTATATTTTGATTTTTAGAAAAAAATATGCAATAAATAAAACGCTGAAATAATTTTATTTTTTTATATTGTTTAGCTTAACTAAAATATTATAATTCGTTATAATCACCAAGTAAAGCCCAAAACAAAGTATACATTAATTAAAGTTAAAACAAATTAGTGTAAAAAAATTAAATTGCTACAATTTTGTACAACCAACAACTTCAATAAACAAATAAAAAATATGTCAATTAAATAAATTAAAGATAAACCACTCCTAAGAACACAAACAAATCTACATACAGGTAATGACGAGTATAATTAGTATAAACAAAAAAAAAGGATATTGTACAATATATATTCAAAAATAAACGTTGCAATAAAATATGCTGTTTAAAGAAAAATCAGTTTTAAAAACACAAAGAAATCTATTTAGTTACAAAGGATATTAAAAAAAAACTATAATAAACTATAGATCAGTCTTAAAAACACAAACAAATCTATTTACAAAAAATATTAAAAAAAAAACTAGAATAAAGGGAAAAGACAATTGAATCGCATTGTTGAAGTTACTTGATTGAAAATGCACTGTAAAACCACAGTATATGTAAAACTATCTAATTCACGACGACTTGACTGTCCCCAACACACAAAAAAGGTACCGTTAAGAATTAATTCTGTTTTAACAATCATATCAATAACCTAAGTTTTTTAAGTTTGCCTCAATTTATTGCACTGAAAAGAAAAACCCGTTAGAGTGCATGGATTAATGGAAATGTAATCATTTTTTCATCTATGGGCAATAGCAAGCATTTGACTATTATTAAATTTTGGGGTTTACAGCTTAGAGCAGAAGACAAATTCTGTATTTTAAAAATGCTAAATTTACTTGAATCTAACGGATAATCGTAAAATGGTTGCATTGACAAAAACGTACAGCCTATCAGGAAAATCTCGTTGTCAATACTTTTTACAATGAAGCGAAATGTGTATGTGTAAATAGTAAGTTACCAAAAAGTATCGTAATATTACAGGCATCTACCGGTATATAATATTCAATATTAATGTTGTATGTGTATATATGAATTCATTGTATTTTTTTAACTTACAAAGAAATCTGCTTGTTCTAATATGCAAACATAATCTTGTAATTCGTCAAAATTTGTTTAGGTGTGGTTTTAGCGGCATAATTTCTGTTTTTGTTTTCTTTTTCAGTTGTCAGATTTGATGACGTTTCCATGTTGGAGATTTTTTCACTCGTTTCCTTTAGCATTTCTTTGGTTTGGCACATGTGTTTTGTATTTATTTCAAATCTATAATAAAATTATGTTCATTAGCATTAGTTCATAAAAAATTGCAGTAACATACCTTTGGAATATTTTATAGCGCCTCATTTTCAAAAACAATCACCGTAAGTTCTTCATAATCAGTGGGAGTATCTTCAGTGATTAATGGTGGTCTTTCCAGCTTATCTGAAAAAACTGCTTTTGTTATCTACGTACAATTATCAAAAATAACAGAAACACGTAAAAATTAAAATGATTACTTTATTAGATATTAACTTACCTATTATAAATAAGTACAACCCACACTGAATGGCATAAATTTGCACAAAACTGCGTTAAAAATGAAGTGAGTAACGGATACACGAGAAAGTTTCGGTGGTTGAGAACCAACTGGAAATATTGGAATGCTTCTCTGTGAAGTGCAATAAACATAAATACCGAAAAAAGGGAAAGTCCGAATGCACGCCCCAAACATCTGATGTATGTATAGTAAATACGGATAAGAATAAGTTTAATAAAACTGAATATTAATCAGTCTCGAATTTTTTTGGTAACCGTCATCACTTTATAAACGTCTTTATAAAATCAAAATTCGACGAAGGAATTCTTCAAAACCTTGTCCCGTTTTAGGGACAATGGACAAAGAATTCTTATGACTTTGTTTTTGTCGTTGGGTCTTTTCGCTCAAGCCCAGATGTTCTATTTATAATTTGCCAAGCAGGTACTTACAAAATAACACTTCCAGAGTAAACAAGTTTTCAGAAATAATTATTTTATTAGAAATTATTAGAATGAAAAAACTTGTCTTTGGTGTATGTCTAATTAAGCCGTTGTATTTTTTGCTCTAAATATAATCAAGCATTATGAAGGCCACTTTTTAAAGAATACGACGACCCACATGTAATTGATCATATAATCTATAAAAAATGACGAAGAAAGGACAGCCTTTTGACGTCATTAATTGACGTCAGATGAAAGTCATAAAAATTTCGTCATTTTCACGTGATTTTTTGGGCGAATGACGTCGCCGACGAGTTATGACCAAAAATTGACGTGAATTAGACGACAGTTTGCTGCTTGGGGTTTGACGTTAACATTTCTGTCGGGATCACACAAACCGATGTAAATTCATTTTAAAATATTTATTGGAATCTAGAAACAACGGTAATCGGTATTTTGGCTCAGGTGGGCCATCTTAGCTGAATAACCCTATATATAAAGTCACATACATAGATAGTGTCGACTACTAAAGCAGTCATCTGCCTTTGATGAAGCCCAGGATATTGTTTATAGGCGGATCTGAATGTCATGTGACAAAGTTTAAAAGTTAACAAAGTATAAAAAGTCTATGTTTTATTTCCCAGCTGTCGGTGTAATTCTCATTACACCTGTTGTCATTAGGAAGGTCAGACGTCGTGTTCGGGCCAGAACAGACCTTCATTGTCTAATCCCACCAGATAACGCTCCCGTAGATGATCATCGGCCTTTTCACTATGGTGTATAGAGATAACGCATTACTCTGGGTGTTAAACTCCAAAATTTTCCTATGGCTCCCTGCACGCCCAAACTCCTGCTATAGTCTTCTTCCTTTGGTTTATCACGTATGTCCTCCAACAAAGCCTATAGTCCAGATTCCAGATTCTTTGTGCACTCGCAATGTTTTTCCAAATCAAAGATTGTAGGTACAAGAAGACATGCGCATTTTGCGTGACGTCATGTGGCTGTCATGGCCGCCAACTTTATATTCTAGCTTGTTACATGTTCGTATTATCACTGTCAACGAACTATGCCAATTTTTGAACACATGTTATTAGCACCTCATTACAACTTAACATCTTCGAAGATAAGTTAACCTCCTCGTCCTTTTCGCCCTTTTTCGTCCTTTTCGTCCTTTTTCGTTCCTTTCGTCTTTTTTCGTCTTTCTCATTCTTTTCGTCCTTTTTGACCTTTTCGTCCTTCTTCGTCTTTTTCGTCCTTTTCGTCATGTTTCGTCCTTTTCGTCCCCTTTCGTATTTTCCGTCCTTTTCGTTTTTTTTTGTCATTTTCCGTTTTTTTCGTTTTATTGACCTTCTTCGTCCTTTTCGTCCTATTTCGCCCTTTTTCGTCCTTTTCGTAATCTTCGTTTTTTTTCGTCCTCTTTCGTCCTTCTCGTCATTTTTTGTCTTTTTTAGTCCCTTTCATTTTTTTTTCGTTCTTCTTCGTCCTTTTCGTTCTTTTTCGCCCTTTTCGAACTTTACGTCCTTTCTCGTCCTTTTCGTCCTTTTCATGCTTTTTATCCTTTTCGTTGTTTTTTCCTTTTTCGTTTTTTTTCATCCTTCTTCACCTTTTTGTCTTATTTCGTCCTTCTCGTTATTTTTCGTCTTTTTTCTTCCCTTTCATTTTTTTTCGTTCTATTTCGTCCTTTTTGTCCTTTTTCGCCCTTTTCGAACTTTCCGTCCTTTTTCGTTCTTTTCGTCCTTTTCATGCTTGTTATAATTTTCGTTGTTTTTTCCTTTTCCGTCCTTTTTCATCCTTTTCGTCTTTTTCATCCTCTTCATCCTTTTTGGTCTATTTCGTCCTTTTCCTGCCTTTTCGTCCTTATTCATCCTTTTTCGACCTTTTTGTCCTTTTTCGTCTTATTCGTCCTTTTTCATCCTTCTCGACCTTTTTGTTCTATTTCGTCCTTTCCCGTCATTTTCGTCTTTTTTCGTCCTTTTCGTAATCTTCGTTTTTTTTCGTCCTTCCTCGTCCTTTTCGTTTTTCTTTTCGTCCTTTTTCGTTCTTATCGTCATTTTTCGTCCTTTTTCGTCCTTTTCCTCCTGTTCGACCTTTTTTTTAATAATAATAATAATAATAAAAAGTTTATTGCCCAACAGTTTCTAATAATGAATCCTAGTGATCTTTTAGCTTGTGAAGTAATGCTCTCCACATGTTCTGCAAAACTGAACTGATTATCATACAAAACACCTAAATCCAAAATGGAAGAGCATTTCTGTAAGCTGTGATGATTGATTTTGTAATCAAACTCGCATACATTAAGCTTGTGTGTGAACGAAATGATGAAAGATTTATTCTCATTTAAAGGTAAAAAGTTGAGCAATGACCAAGAAACCAAATTATTTATGTCTTTTTGAAGAAGCAAGGAGTCACTAATACCACTAATTTCACGGTATATTTTAATGTCATCTGCGAAAATGAGAACTTTTGAGTAGCGAACACAATCTAGCACATCGTTAATAAATAATGTGAATAGCAGAGGAGCAAGAATGGAGCCCTGCGACACTCCAGCAGCTGAGATGTAACTGTTGGACTTAAATCCATTTACTACCACAAAATTGTTGTGTTCGTCCTGTCGTCCTTTTTCGTCCTCTTTCGTCTTTTTACGTCCTTTTCGTCCATTTTCGTCCTCTTCGTTTTTTTCTTCCTTTGTTGTCCTTTTCGTCCTCTTCGTTTTTTTTTCGTCCTTTTCCGTCCTTTTCGTCCTTTTTCTACCTCTTCGTCCTTTTCGTCCTGTTTCATTCTTCTCGTCCCTCTTTGTACCTTTCGTTTTTTTCGTCCTTTCTCATCCTTTTTCGTCCTTTGCGTCCTTTTTTGTCTTTTTCATCCTTCTTCGTCCTTTTTCGTCCTTTTCGTCCATTTTCGTTCTTTTCGTCCTCTTCGTTTTTTTTTTCGTCCTTTTTCGTCCTCTTTCGTCTTTTTACGTCCTTTTCGTCCTTTTTCGTCTTTTTCGTCCTTGTTCGTCCTTTTTCGTCCGTTTTCATACTTTTCGTTCTTTTGCGTCCGTTTCGTCCTTTTCTTCCTTTTCGTCCTGTTCGACCTTTTCGTCTTTTTCGTCCTTTTTGGTCCTTTTCGTTCTTTTTTGTTCTTTTTGTCCCTCTCATTCTTTCCGTCCTTTTCGACTTTTTCGTCCTTGTTCGTCATTTTCGTCGTTTTTTGTTCTTTCTCGTCCTTTTCGTCGTTTTCGTACTTCTTCGTCCTTTTCGTTCGTTTTCGTCCTTTTCGACCTTTTGGTCCTTTTTCGGCCTTTTCGTTCTTGTTCGCCCTTTTCGTCCTTTTTCGACCTATTCGTCCTTTTCGTCCTGTGTCGTCCTTCTTGTCCCTTTTTGTACCTTTCGTCCTTTGCGTCGTTTTTTGTCTTTTTCTTCCTTCTTCGTCCTTTTTCGTCCTTTTCGTCCTTTTCCGACCTTTTCGTCCTTTTTCGACCTCTTCGTCCTTTTCGTCCTGTTTCGTCTTTCTCGTCCCTTTTTGTACCTTTCGTCCTTTTTCGTCCTTTTTCATCCTTCTTCGTCCTTTTTCGTCCTTTTTCATCATTCTTCGTCCTTTTTCGTCCTTTTCGTCCATTTTTGTACTTTTCGTCCTCTTCGTTTTTTTCTTCCTTTGTTGTCCTTTTCGTCCTCTTCGTTTTTTTTTCGTCCTCTTTCGTTCTTGTCGTCCTTTTTCGTCCTCTTTCGTCTTTTTACGTCCTTTTCGTCCATTTTCGTCCTTTTCGTCCTTTTTGTCTTTGTTCGTCCTTCCTCGTCCTCTTTCATTCTTTTTCGTCTTTTTTCGCCCATTTCGTCCTTTTCATCCTTTTTGACCTTTTCGTTCTTTTTCGTCCTTGTGCTAATTTTTCGTCCTTTTCGTCCTTTTTCGTCCATTTCGTCCTCTTCGTTTTTTTTCATCCTTTGTCGTCCTTTTCGTTCTCTTCGTTTTTTTTCGTCCTTTTTCGTGTTTTTTCATCATTTTCGTCCTTCTCCTCATTTTTCGTCCTTCTTGATCCTTCTCGTCCTTTTCGTCATTTTCCGTCCTTTTCCTAATTTTTCGTCCTTTTCTTCCTTTGTCGTCCTTTTCGTCCTTCTCGACCTGTTCGTCCTTTTTCGACGTTTTCGTTCTTTTTCGTCTTTTCCCTCCTTTTTCGTCCTCTTTCTTATTTTTGGTCGTTTTTGTCCTTTTTCGTCCTTTCCGTTCTTTTCGTCCTTTTCGTCCTTTTCGACCAATAGGTGGGTAAAACCATTTTCTCGATAAAACAAATTGAACGAACCTACGTATGACACGTTCCAGATGGATTAAATGAATGTTATGGTGAGGACACCAAATTATGCAAGCATAGTAAAGTTTGCTGCCTAGTAATGTATAAAAAGGTCGAATGATAATGTCACAGTATTGAAAATCTCTAGAGTTTCTTATGATGAAACCCAAAGTTTTTATGCAGTCTGCCACAACTTTGTTAATATGATAAGCATATGAGAGCTTGCTATCAAAAACAACTCCAAGATTTACAACGGTCTGAGGCCTAGCTAAGATTACCCCATTAAGGACGTATTCGATGTGAATACTATATCGCTTTAAAGAAAATGACATTCCATAACATTTATTTTGATTTAACAAAAGCCTGTTCAAATTGCACCATACCAAAATCCTATTTAAATTATGTTGTAACTTACGGCAGTCATCAGTTGAACTTATTCTATTGGATATCTTGGTGTCATCTGCATATAAAGAAATTTCAACATCTAAATCGTTCGAGATATCATTGATGAACAATAAAAAAAGCTGCGGATCGAGTACAGAACCCAATATAACAGTAATGACATCAGAATCATATCCATAGCAATGGACAGACCCAAAAAAGCGAATTAATTACATATTCATGCCCAAAGCATAGGGTTTATCAATTAATATACCATGATCTAGTTTGTCAAAAGCCTTTGAAATATCAAGATATATTACATCGCTCTGTAGTCCACAATCGACAGAGTCCGCGATAAACTATGTCGCACAAAGAACTGTAGCCACTCATAAGAAGCGCGAAAAATTGATACGTAAATCTAGGAAATGCTGTCAAGTCATGTGTCATTTATCCTCTACCCGAGTGTGTTCAAGATAGTCAATGAAACTATCCACGCTCTGTATATTCGGTTGCCTACTGAGTCTCTCAAAATAATTGCCCTGTTGCAAATAAACGGCAAATAATAATTCGAAGGCCTGCCACAAATATATTTTTTATGTACATCTTCTGTTCTATTAACTCATTTTACAACATTTTAGTGGTCAGTCCTGAGTGATTTTAAAGTCTGTCTGCATGCTTCAAATTAATTAAAAAAAAAAAAAAGTAGTTAATTTTCAAACACATTCAAATATTTACGTGACTGTTTACAAACAAGACAGTTATATTAGTAAATACTAAATACCATTGTGTTCCTATGCAGCTGTGGTTGTACCTATTTTTTCAGTTTTTCTATAAAATTTTGGTGATGTTAAGAATATTCCCCGGTTATAAATAAACCATTGAATGTAAGTCGGGAATTACGGAGAAAACAAGAAGTGAATTAACTTGTTCTCGCGGGAATTATTTTCCTCTTGATTCCCTTAATATATTAAATACTATTAACGCACAAGTATGGGATTATTTCACTAAGTATGGGTTGTCCAAATGAAATTGCTTCAAACTATAATAATTTATTCAAATAAATTAAATTAGGAACATTCAAATACTAATTATGAAACCCGCACTATTCTCAAAATATACAATCAATAACTAAACCCATTGACAAATTAATACAAATTACAATTTCGAAACTAGTGGGTTGATTTCAAATATCTTCTCCCAAAATGCCATTCTTTCAGGTTCTGGATTACTTTTCATTGATAATGGATTTCCGATTTCGAGGTAATTTACATTGTGAGTGTCAACAGGTTTCCATTTCACACCCAAAATATAATCAGTTGAGTCTGGCGTAGGATTACCACAAGCAGCAAAATTTGTCCATAATTTGATTACTTTTTTCTGGGCTAGATCCTCTGGACTTTCTGGAGTAATATCAGGTGTGAACATTGTTTTAAAAATATAACCTAATTCGTCTCCGTGGTATACACCTAAAATTGGTTTTAGAGTATTAATCCCAGAAATTGAAAATAACTCACCGGCTATATTTTTATTTTGAAGTTTTTTAAAAATATTTAATTCTGTTTCTAAGGTAAATTTATAAAAATAAATGGGTTTAGTAAATGTTTTTATGTGGTGTTTAACAGAAAAATAAATATCTCTTAAAAAGCAAGTGTCTGTGGATAACTGGAAATATTCGGGATTAGTATTTTTATCAATGTACATAAAAATATCGTACGTCAAAATACTGTGTTTGATGCTCCTCTCTGGTCTGTTTCACATCTCCAAAATAAAAAAGTCGTATTTCATTCGCAATTTGTTTGGAAAGAGTGCTACCTCTTTGAACTTTCAAAGCCAGAGGTACAGAGAATTCCATATTTTCAAAAAATGGTGCTCTCGCTCTTGAAGGAACGATTTGATCAATAGCCATGCCTTCTCTATCATTATAACCTATCATCATTGGTAAGTGATTGTAATCTCCTGACGATATTATGTCGATGGGTCGTCTGTCCAAGAACGGCTCCTCACTGGACGGCTTTTCTACGACAGCTCCAAAAAACCGAAAGTCTGTTTCTATGAAATCCGCCTGTTTAAACCAAACAGTGTTAAAAGCGAAATACACTATGTCGTACTTTCTCGATTACAGTGTCTATTTTGATCTGAGCCTTTAAAATGTCAACCGCTGACACCCCTTGTAAGAAGGAAATAAGTTTTCTTTCATCTGAATTCGAAAATCCTAATTGTTCTGCAACGATTTTTGCCGATCTTCGTCCCCCGACCCAGGTATTTAAAGCGCATGCGCTTTGAGCTATGATTTTATGCAGTAAACCTGAAACACACTTATTTGTTAAAATTTAAGAGATTATCACACAAGGAAAACCTTTTGTCATAGGAGATAATATCAAGAGATGTGCAGCAACTGCTCCGGCACTCTCTCCAAATACGGTGACATTATTTGGGTCGCCACCAAATTTGGTGATGTTTTTTTGGACCCATTTCAACGCCATAACCATATCTTTAAAACCTGCATTCCCTGGAACACCAAGCGACGTATCTTCGAGACTTAGAAACCCTAAAATCCCCAAACGATAATTTATAGTGACAAGAACCACGTCTTCAGCCATTAGAAATTCTGGCCCAAAAAGGTCTGTTTTGTTTGACCCCGTCATGAAAATGCCTCCATGTATCCAGAACATTACAGGTTTCAAGGGCTTGGGTCTGTTTTTTTGGGGTAACTGAAATTAAAAAAAATTCATGAAAAATAAGTTGTTTGTACAAAAGAGAAGTAACATAATATAGGTAAAATTGAAAAATTTTATATATTTTTGTTATCTGTAATGTCATAATCTAGAACTAATTCAATTGCCATTTAAGTGGTTAGCTTGTGTTTATGATAAAAAAAGTATGTTACTTTTTCGATTCTAAAAATAATTCGTAAATATAGCGTACGTAATAAACATTAAATATGAGATTACTATCTCGTCAGAGTTTGTCAAATAGTTTCGTAATCATAACCCAACAGATTTTAGGATAAGTTAATCCAATCAAGTATCGAAAATCACTGACTATTTATGTGTATCTGTTTTTAAATTAAATACATATCTGTCCTTGCTGTGTCATCAGTCGTCACTCACCTCTGGCGTATAAACATTCAAATTTAGACAATCTTCCGATCCAACAATTTTTCGAGTAATTAAGTGGCGAGAAACACACTCAGATCCTTCTCTGGTAGCATCCTTGATCCCTTTCCATGGTTGCACCGGTCGTGGTGCCTTAAATGTGTTATCATTAGATAATAAAATTAATCGTATTTAAAACATATTTTGTTTACTTTAAAACGTAGTGATCCCACAGGCGGTTGGGCGTAGGGTACATTATGGAAAATGTAGAAATTATTATTTAACTTATCGAGGCCTAGTTTTCCTCTTAATTTGCCACTTTCGATTTCTATCACAACCATCGTAATTAAGTTCAAACTTCATACTAAGTTATTACTCAGTGTTGTCCGTAGGTTATCATTATTTTTTTTTTGATAAGAATAATACTTGAACGTTCCACTGGTTAACTACTTACAGGTCGTAAATATAATCGTAATTATTTTCTATCACCATTAGCGAGTACTATTTTCTGTTAAGGTAGGCTTTTTAATAATAAATGATTGCTATCATAAATTGTGGTAATATCAGTATGTACGTAAGTAGTTAAGGCCACTGAGTGTTAATTGCACACTGAGTAATTGCCATTTAATTCTGAATTTTAAAAATGTAAAGTCAAGAATATGCATGATTTCAGTCTCAAGTTTAGTACAAATGGACAACTTTTTTTAACTTTTTAACGAAACACCGTACGAAAATGTACGAAATGTCAGTGATTTTTAAATGAATAATAAAAAGCGTGTAGATACCAGTTAAGCAAATAGTAATAATAATAATGTCTGTGCAGTTCTTCCACTACCTGGTATGCTCGAAAAAAAAAACCCAAAAAAAGTGGTGAAAATACTATTTTTATCCATCGAATTACCCGAGGGGTAAACCGCCGACCATCAAGTGTACAATTGATTTCCTTTTGACAATGATTTCCTGTTGATTTCCCCCGATTTCTTTTGATTTCCTCTGATTTCCTTTGATTTCCTGTGATTTCCTTTGATTTCATTTGATTTCCTGTGATTTCCTTTGATTTCCTCAAAATTTGTTTACATAATGTACTACAGGGCGATTGTTAACTTTTTTTTAACTTGACTTTTTTGTTTTGCCGATAATGATGTTGAATTTAAACCTTTTTTTACCAAGTGTTTACTAACGTACGGTGACTAGGTAAGTGCTTTCCCTTTAGACGAAAAAAATAAATAAATAAAATGTATTGTTCTGCTAAGCAACAAACTGAAATGTTTAAGGAAAAAAATCTGATGTTACTTACAAAAAGAACGCTACTCTGAAATCGAGGTTTTAGATGTCTAAATCAATAGAGTGAGTATACGTTCGAATTTTACACTTTCTTGGGTCAAATGTTTGTTCTAAAAGTGGACATATGCAATATTCTAGATTTTTTGCACATTCAGTCAGAAAACCTTATGGTCTATTTTAATTTTGAAATTAAAAATGTCTGGTGTGTACAAATTAGTTCGTTTAAATCACTCAAAGATTTAATAAATTATATGATATATTATTATTAATTTTTTAATAAATTATATTATGAAATTTTGCTTTTGACTTTACGAAATTAAAAGTACATAAGGCCAAGGATATTTTTAGTTACGTCAGCAGTTTTTACTTATCAGTGACTCATAAGGCAACAATTTAACACGTAAGTATTTTTTTTGCACAACAGAGGAGTGGATAACCCCACTTGATAAATTTTCAGAGGTAATTTTCCCCTTTAAAAGTGTTCATGGGCACCTAGAATTTTGCACAGTTTCTTCATTTAGTATTCTCTACGATATATACTTGTACAAATCTCGACCCAGGTTGAGGTTACATTATCACAAATTTTAATCACATCACTTAAAAAAAAACTAGAATTAAATCAAATATTTTTTCAATAATTTTTTTTCAAAAACTAAACTGCCTCTTCTGAGTACCTGAGGTGGAGGTAGTTTCATTATATATTCATTTTCTTGGATCTCCCCCTGAACTTTAATGTCCGGAAACATAAAAGCATCCGGAATTTTTGGATTCCTTTTCAAAAAATCACAAAAAATAGGGTTAAGTGATAACACTTTACCAATGTAACATTTTTTGTTTTGTTTTTGAGTTGTTAATTGTACTATCATATAATCGTCTATATTTAAGTCTGGTTTAGAACGATCAGTCTTATTATTTTCAGCCTTGAGATTCAAACGAGGATTCAAATCATCAGAATAATTGGAAAAATTCAAACTTTCGGTGTCCGTGCTGTCATCATATTCGATACTACTTGGGTTGTCTAAATCAGATGAGTCACTTGATATATTATAGCGTCTTTTTTGTTTTCCAATTTGGACTGGTTTTTGAATTTGAGATGCATCTTTATGTTGAAGGCAGGTATCTGTTTCTGAGTTAACTCTACTACTATTACATTTCTTATTTTGAATAAATCTTTTGAGACGATCCACATTGACGCGATCCTTTTCATTGTCCAACAGCCAGCAAAGTGAAGACTTTTTTATAACTTTTGTTGTACTATCTAAGCGTATTCTGACTAGATCACTTTTCTCAACAAAATTATCGTCACTATCAAAACTTCTAAGGTGTACGTCTCTGTCAAATTTCTTAGATTCGTACGAAATTGTGCAAAGATCATTCAGTAAATCTTCATCTTGGTCAACTGGATCGTTTTCCAAACTTTGAAAACAGTTACGTTTCATGGCTATTTGAGAATTGTTGTAATTTTCAGTGTAATCGCTGTTCTTCACTAAACATTTCATCTTCAACTTCGTCATTGCATTCATTGTCTTTACACGGAGGCAAAAATACATAGTTGAAATCTATCACTTTCATTCCTAAGTCTTCAGTGTCACGCAGACAATCCCGTAAAGCTGATTCTACGGTGCTTTGTATATCTTTATCTGAAATGTTTCCTAAGTCATCATTTTTCACAAAATCTCTCTTCATGATTGAGCTTTTTTTCCTGATTTCTCTAGGAAAAACGAATTTTTATTCAAATCGTTTTTAATGTTGTTTATAGTTTGCAGTCTGTCACTTCGATGCAACATATGTATCTCTTATTAAAATTAACAATTGTGCTAAAAGTTGAGGTCATTGATCTAAGGCTTCTAAACATACTCTCACAAGTTTGAGAGCTAAACTTCCAAGGTAAGAACATATCATCAGTAAGATTTTTGTACGACCTGAACTTAATGAATTTGGTACCTCATATCACAAACTCAATTTTTAAAAACTAATTTGGGGTGAAATTATAAATTTGGTTTGTAGGTATAAGCAATATAATGTATCATTTCTCATCGGAATTGCACTTCATTAACTACAACTTTAATATTTGTCAAGCTGAAATATCATGCTGTCAGTTAATGATATTACACTGGAATTTTCTATCATTATGCCCTTAAAAAGTTGATTGATATTTTCTTTCTAATGATGAATGCTATGACTTATGTCGTACATGTTACGTTTATTAGTTCTAGAAAATAGTTTAACTGCATCACTTCCTGCAAAATTAAATGACATCTTTCTTTTCGTGCAAACCTCTAAACCCTCCATTTTTTGTATAACAGAAACCTGGTTACATAACGCGATTCCCAACTCAATGATTTGTCCGCCCGACTATAACATACACCGTAACGATATAGTCCACAAACGAGGAGGAGGTGTCACAATTTTCCTCAATAAAAACTGTTTTTCGCATTTCCAAATTAAAACTATTGACATTGAAATTAATTCAGTGGAAACCCTTGCTCTTCACATCTGTTTACAATCCTTCAGTCTCTTATTATTATGTATCTACAGGCCACCAGACACCCCCGCAACCACAGACAATAATATCATTACAGTCTTGACTGAGCTAATTACCCAATACTCTCAAGTAATCGTCACTGGCGATTTCAATCTGCCAGACTTCAAACATATTGTATCCCTCGATCATCCTAACAGTACAGAAGCTCTTTATCACAATTTCTTAATAGACCTTGGCCTCACACAGCTTGTCAATGAACCAACTCGCTTCAGAGAAAACACAAACCCCTCACTCCTAGACTGGATTATTGTAAACGATCGTCAGCTCTTGTCAAATATTCAACATGAACCACCAATCGGCATATCTGACCACGCAGTGTTAAGCAGCCAAATTCAATTTTTTGTTTCGACTCACCCCAATCGCGTTGACTCAACGGTGGTTAAGCGTATTAACTACAATTTAGTTAACAGCAATATTAATCAAATTGATTGGCACTCCTGTCTCCGTAACTTAGATCCAAATGAGCAATGGAATTACCTGACAGCGATCATTACATCACTCAAAGCAAAATACACTAAGACGATGGTTATCAAACGAGCGAAAAATAAACCTTGGATAAATCGTAACCTTATAAAAGAATTATCAAAAAAGAAAGCCCTTTGGAAAAAATTTCGGAGAATAAAATGCAATAATGACTACGTAGCTCACAGGCTTTTCTCAAACGAACTATCTATCAAATTACAGAAAGCTAAGAAGGCATATGAACAGTCAGTAATTTTCAGCAACAACCAAAAGAAGTTCCACCAATACATTCGGAATGCCCTGTGCTCAAAGGTCAGCGTACCTCTGATCCAACACCCCAACGGAACTCTGTGCAACAATAACCTGGAAGTCGCCGAGTTATTAGCTGAGAGTTTTTGCAAGTCTTTCACACCAGAGCCAAACGATCCACTGACAGCAGTACTCTCTACTCCCAGTTGTGAGAACTTTCTAAGTAACATCAATTTCACTCCATCGATAATAAGACAAGAAATAAAAAATCTTAAGTCCAACTCTGCCCCTGGACCTGACAGCATTGATGTGCACCTACTGAAACACTGTATCAGCTCCCTAAACTCACCCCTGGCCATAATAATGACAAACTCTTTCAAAACTTCCATCGTGCCAGACGTCTGGCGTTGTGCTTACGTCACACCTATTTTTAAAAAAGGCAACAAGCTCTCTCCAGACAACTACAGGCCGATTAGCTTAGTGTCAGTGGTGTCCAAAATTATGGAATCTATCATAGTCTATTCATTATCCCAATTTCTTGTTGAAAATGAAATAATTCCTAACGTTCAGCATGGCTTCCTTAAAGGCCGCTCAATCGTCACCAACTTATTATCATGCTTAAACGAGTGGTCTGACTCACTTGACAAACATAAGCCTACAGACGTCATTTACTTAGACTTTTCCCGAGCGTTTGACTGTGTTCCTCATCAGCGATTGATGCACAAACTCCATCACCAAGGCGTCCGTGGAGACCTCTTAACGTGGATTTCATCGTTTCTTAATAACCGTTCGTTCAAAGTCCGGGTGGACAAGGAGTATTCCAATCCCAGAAGTGTTTTAAGTGGTATACCACAAGGATGCGTCCTGGTGCCACTACTCTTCTTGGCTTACACATCCGATCTCGTCGCTGGCATCAGTTCAAAATGCGCCCTTTATGCTGACGACGCAAAAATTTTTGCTGACCCCACATCTAACTGGGACACTCTCCAAAGTGATCTGTACAAAATCGCCATTTGGTCTTCAGCTTGGTTTCTACCACTAAACGAAGACAAATGCGTCGTTCTTCACATCGGGCCAAACAACCCTCTTAACACTTACTCCATCAATGGAAAACTCTTGCGCTCTGTAAAATCTGTTAACGATTTGGGTGTCATCATTAATGACCGTTTGACTTGGACACAACACATTGATAAAATATGCAAGAAAGCTAACTCAACGATATAAATCTGTAACAAAATTTTCTCAAAGCCGTCGTATGAAACAACTCGGAAACTTTACATCATGTATATCAGACCCCACCTGGAATATGCCAGCGCTATATGGTACCCAATACTTTGTCGAGACAGAAATCTATTAGAACAAACACAACGAAGAGCCACCCGCCTTGGTCTTGGAATTCGAAGACCATCATATGCCGAATGCCTCTCACAAATGCGTCTTGAACCAATTACAACGAGATTTCCTGTGATTTGCTTTGATTTCCTCTGATTCCCTTTTTGATTTCCTGTGATTTCCTTTGATTTCCTCTAGCTAGCGTGTACAATTGATTTGCTCTGCGGTTTACCCCTCGGAATTATCTGTCATATGGCGTAAGTTCAAGCATGTTATTCGGCATTACATTGACGGACGAATGAATTCTCCCCCAATTTGAATTACGTACTACTCTGGGCATAAATTAACTTGAAATATTTATAGAAGCCATCAACGATTTGTTGTCGTCTTCTATTTTCGAAATACATTGTATGAAGCAACCCAGATTTTTCTTTATCTCTGCTGACAGGAGACCAAAAACCTTGAGGTACTTTTTAAATTCACTTCACTCTGCCTAAGAAAGTTTTCATATGGTTGATTTATACAGGATGATTTCGAAATATATGTAATAATTTTAACCACGGTATCACGTACCCTCGATCGAAGCGAGTGATCCATCTTTTAAACAGTAGCTAGAAAAACGTTCGAACAAAAACTTTCAGTTTCAATTAAAAGTAAAACCAACTTTTTGCTGATTATCATTTGTTCATTCATGCATTCATTCATCGTTAAAGGTCAGTGCGAAAAATTGTTCGTTGTAGAAACAAATGGTCGTCCTGAGAAGGACCGATTTTTGGTAATGCTTCATGCTGATCGACTTTTGATTGTGACGGATGTTTGGTCCTTGTAGTTGTATTTCTTGACGAGCGTGTAGACTTTCATCGGACCAAATGTGAGTGTTGTGACTGTTGAAAACAGCATTGCGACAGAATTTTGCTTCATCCGTAAACAGAATGCACTTTAAATAGTTAGGGCGTTGACGAAACTGCTGTTAACAACCATTCGCAGTAAATTCCACAACGTGGACAATCAGCGACCTCCAATGCTTACACTTTTTATGCATGTTTCTTTGTTATTTTAATGTACGATGCACTACAAACTGTGACAATAAGTCGGCGAATATTGATGTCGGGCTCTTCTTCGACGCGTTCCAAAATTTGTTCTTCAGCTTGCAGTAATCCTTCGGTCCTACTATGACCACTGTCGTGAGGGTGAGGCTTGAAGGTACTATGATCTCGGAGATGCTATACCACTGACGTAAATGTTCTTGCACATGGAAACGCGCGATTTGAAAAACGTTGGATTGACAATCCGCTGGCCAAGCTGGCGTTTACATCAGCCACACCATAAGGCATTACCTTGTCAACACGCTCTGAATTGGTAAAATTCACCATTATCAAACACAATCGAATAAGCTACAGCAATCAACTGATATATGACTGCCTTATCGTCTCTTTGCAAGTTCGCTATCAGTGCTCTATTATTTTTTTTGGGTCTTAAGCATAGTCGATCTGTGCAATTCATTGTAGTAATTATGTAAGTCAAAAAAACTACCAGTATACCAATTTATATATAATTTCAGATATTTTTTCCAGACGTTGCTACCATTTACGAACGTGAAATTTACACATTTTGTTCACCCTTCATATAACCCTGATCCTTTAAAGGTTTTTAAAACTCTGTCACTTTTCCATCGTCAGCTTCACCGACAACATCAAAAATAAATTTTCCACAAATGCAAGTGCTGTTTTACTCACCTGATCACCCACAGTTGGTGACACCGACGTGAGCTTCTTTTAGCATGGTATGTGACCAGTATATATACTAAATTCGTTCACGAGAAAATGGTAACAAAAAGACTAATAACAAATCCCCAGAACATAACAACAAAATTCGAAAATTTGAAAATCTTAATTACTTATCACTCATGTCCTAATCTGCACATAGTACCATTCAAACAGATAATAAAACTAGACCACCAATCCCCGAACGTAAGAACAAAATTCGCATATTCGCAAATTGCAAATATCATTGCGCTTGTCAGACATTGCGAACAACATGCGCAGAACCTTACACCCATAAAAATCGCTAATCGCAATTATTTTCATGCAAATTCGTACCCAAACTAAAATAGCAGCAGGAGAAACGCCAGTAGTAGCATAAAAACGTCAGAATCGAAACCATATTCAAACGAAATTAAACCCTATAAAACTAAAAAAAGAAGAGCTAAAGTCGCGTTCCGTGCAACACATAAATTAAAAAGAAATATGACTCACTAACGTCGCGGGAGACAAGATAAATGGGTAAAAATCCCAATAAAAGCAGTAGTGCAGGAAGTGATATTAATTCAAGTTCTGAGTTGTAGTCGGACACTATGTCCATTTTCGCACCGAGTTTTTCTTACTGTTTTTGTATGAATTTTGAAGAAATCCGCACTTAGTAAAATTTGCTGAGACCGAGAAGAAGATGCAGAAAATACCATGTTGCATTTGTGTAAATCTGGCTTCAGTGATACTTAACTTATCTCGCTCTCTCTCTGCCACAATGTGTTCTTGTACGGCCGAAACCTATTTGTTTAATTTATGCGATTTTTGAGGTTTTCGATGCGTTTGGTGCGAATGTTTAATTTCACAAATTAGCGTAGATTTAAGAGCATGTTTTAGTTCGTTAATTTTATTTGTTTACTTTATTCTCAGTACAAGATTTATTAGTTTAATTGTTTTTAGCTGTTTTAATAGTACTTAGTTAGCTGGTAACTGCCCAGTTGCAGTTTATTAAATACTTAAGTGCGTTACTCAAATTCGTATCTAGCAGTTTTGAAGTTTAATTATCACGCACGTATTATTATTATGGTTTAGAAGGTATCGCACATAATTAGGCATTTTAAGGTTAATTTTAAGTTTTTAATTGCAGATGATATAGAGGATTTTTAGGATTAATTTTAATTAGTTTCGTGGGTTATGTTCGTAGATTTTAAGGTTTTAATAATGGCACATGCAGTTTAGCTCTTCCATTTTCAAGGAAATAGGTCTGTACATAAATAAATAAATGTAATGCTACGTTGGACGGGTAATTGAAATCGGCGTGGGTAAAACTTAACAATTTATTTCTTAATAACCCGAATTATACGACTAACAACTATTATAAAATAATTCCGACGCAACGTCTCTTGACTCTACTAGCTGAATAATAATCGTTCCCGAAGGTGGCCTCTATTTAAACCCATACTTGTGCGATCGCGACTTTGGGACTTCCTGACAGATGATTCACCCATCAACGCCGTGCGTATTAGAAAGCTCGAGAATCCATAGGCGTCGTATCGGGGCGGCGTATGGGTTTATTTCGAAACAATTGTATCAAATGAATTTTGTATAGGTGAAACTTTTCCTTTTTCATTCTTGTTTGAATTGATATTTTCTATCTACTAACATTGCGTTTCAGCGCTAATTGTTGCACTGACGTTTTGAGATATTCTGTTGCGTCTATGAGGACATTAAGGGCATTTTCATCATCCGTAACAGTTTTTTGCCTGCTAGGTTTGGATGTTCTTTAACACTTCCAGCTTCATTAAATCTTTCTAGGGTTTCTGAAACAGTTGACTTGATAAGTGTTACTACTTGAACAAAACTTCATCTTTTGCCACCGTAACCGATAATCATTAATAATTCTATACGCTCAGTTTCACTTAAATGTACCATTTTTGTAAGAAACACTTTATATGTCAAATTAAAATTATTTTCAAAAGTAACTATGTCATCTTTCTTTTTTATTTATTCTTATTTAAAATAATTTATTTTGGCATTTCAATGAGAAAGAAAGTATGATTGTGCTAAGTACATCAATAAATTAAAAAAAATCTATATTCAAAAATGCGTTAATTATGTATATGGTAATGCCATCTCGAAAACAAATGTCTAATCCGCTTGCTTTCAATTTAAGATGTTAGCACAGTTAACATTAAACAGAACAGTTGCAATTTTTATTTAGTTATTTTTTCCCTTAATATATTTAATTTTATCTGTGTCTATATTTTTCAAATTGTTTTTCTATCGTTAGTAAGATGCATGTGTCTGCTAATCTCGATGGAATATGCTGTACTGATGAGATCCAACGAGATCGAAACTGCAGTCTACAGCTTTCCAACAGGTTGTCTAGCCTTCAGTGTGATAAACACTGTGTAATGCGTGAGTGTGCATTATTTGGCAACAGAAACTATATTTAATACTTCTGTAAGTACAGAGACAGATCAAATGATAGACACTTTTAAGAAAACAAATCGTCATTTATTTACAATAAATGTCGAAAAGGTTGCTCCAAAATTCCATTCTTTCTGGTTCTGGATTCAGCTCCATGGTTAGCTCTTTTCCTATATCCAAGAAATGTAGTTCGCTTTGTGTAACAGGTTTCCATTTAACATCAACAGTTGAAGTGTTGTCATCTTGCACCGGGTTACCATATTTGGCAAAGTTTGTCCACATATGTACAAATCTTCTCATGCCAATATCTTCATCGCTTCCAGGCTCTATGTTCGGAGTTAGTAAATTTTTAAATAAATATCCAATATCATCACCATGACAAACACCTAAAACCATAGTTTACTAAATATAAATATGTCCAGAACGAGAAAACTAAATCGAAATAAAATATTTTACCTGGTTCAGTCATATTATAAATTTTTTTTAACATGTTCAGGGAGGTTTCACTCGACATTCTGTACAAATAAACAGAATCTGATGAATTTTGTTCGTGATATTTCACCGTAGTTAATATTTCTCGCAGGAAAAAGTTATCCGTTTCTAACTACAAAAGGAACTCATTTTTTTAATTGAGACACATTACACATACTTACTATGTAATATTTGTCCTTATTTTCCGTTGTCGGTTCTTCGTCACCATAGTAGAACAATTTGATTTTTTCAGCTAGTTGTTTCGAAAGCTCAGAACCACGAGCAATTTTTAGAAAATGTGGAACACTGAGTTCAAAATTGGTTATCGGTCTAAAGGGGTACGGCTTCTGTACAATTTCGCCTAATATTCCTTCTCTTGTTGTAAACCCGATTATAATCGGAACATGATTGTACCTTCCAGACTTCATTATATCCAGAGGATTTTCCCAAAGGAAAGCGTCTTTTGACTTTCTTTCCACTACCGGACCGTGGGGTCTAACTTTGCAAGCAATAAATGGCTGGAACAACACAGACGATTTATTAATAATTAGAAAAGAAAAACAACGACGTCCATACTTCACTTACATCACACATCTTTTCAGCGGCTTTGTATAACTGATCTGGTGGTAAATCTTGAATTGCTTTGAAAACACTTTGGTCATCTCTAGTTTCCAGTCCTAGCACTTCAGATAATTCTTCGGTGTACGATCGTCCTTTAGCCCAAACATTTATAGCGCAACCACTTTGGAGGATAGCTTTATGGAAAAGACCCTTGGCCTTTGGAGATAAAATTAAATAATGGCATGCAGCTGCACCTGCACTTTCTCCAAATATTGTTACATTATTTGGATTTCCACCAAAGTGGATTATATTGTCATGGACCCACTGCAGTGCCATTAACATATCCTTCATTCCTGCATTTCCTGGAATGTCTAGATCCGGATCTTCGAAACACAGAAAACCTGTGAAATAATTAATTTGATTAAGTAATTAGGTTTTGCTAGCGTTATAATATCAGATACACATCATCATTGGCTGTTGGTAAATCATTGATGTATAGTATAAATAGTAGGGGTCCCATAATGGGCCCTTGTGGAACGCCAAATGTTATTTGAAACTGAGACAACTGAGAGTAGTATGATGTGATTTAGCAGATGAATTCACGATACATATATTTCTTAGTTTGGAATTGAGTAGACTATGATTGACACAATGGAAAGCCTTTAAGAGGTCACAGAAAGTGGTGCCAAATTTAAGTGGTAGTCTACTAGTGCAAGTTAAAAATATTTAAAATACTCGAACTGATTTGATTGTCATTGAGTAATCTTCGAATATTTCAAATTAATGTTACCTAAAATTCCAGTACGATAATTAATTGTGACCAGCACAACATCTTCCATCAATATAAATTCAGGACCATAGGCTTCCGTGCTTCCTGAGCCAGAAGTAAAGCCACCACCATGAATCCAAAACATCACAGGTTTTAAATCATCATTTCTTTGGTTTGTTGGTAGCTAAAAAAGAAAACACTTATATTATTTTCAAGGACATACTTAATTTATTCACGAATTTTTATAGGGGAATTACGAAAAGTAAGATTCATTTTTAGTCCGTCTAACACGTACCGTATTACAATTTATATTTAAATCAAGACCGAAGTCCAAGTCCAAGGAAGTACTAATGACGTCAGTATATTTCAGACGAACGTTCAACCTCTATTCAACAAACTTGACGCTTTTTTTTAGAAAAACATTAATTTAAGGTAATAGGTGTGGCAAACTGTTGATTAATTTGTGTCACGTAACTTAATTAATTACAGTGTAATGTCACATTATTATAGGGAGACTCGCAAACACTGGAATTTGAACATAATCATAATTCTAAAACAATAACCACAAGATAATACCGTACGGTACTATACAGAAAATAAAATAAACTAAAATAACTTTGTAAGTACTAATTTTGAACCTAATTATTTTAGCTGATTCTAATAATATTAATCAATCTTGAATATAATTTTTTTACCTGTGTTTAATTGCAAATGCAATTGCTGTGTACGTATAGCAAGCGAACACTGCTAAAAAGAAACTTACAGCTGATTGTTTTCCACGTGCTCATTTAAACAGTCATTAAATACTTTTATAAACTTATAAACGAAAAATGTTTAAGTGAATAAACGATTTCCTTTAGTCTTTTGAGTAAATTAGAAATACTCTATAACAACAATGTATACAGAGATATTACAAGTGGTTCATTTACAAAAAAAAGAAACTAATTAAATAAAGAATTCTTCAATTCGTAGTTTACCTCAGGTGTGTAGACATTCAGTGTCAAACAATCTTCGCTACCAATTAATGTTCTTAAAACTGTATGTCGAGACACACAATCATTTCCTTCGTGAGTAGCGTCTTTGATACCTGTCCATGGCTCCGGAGGTTGTGGTGCCTAAAACAGTTATGTGTGGGTATTTTTTGCTTTTTTTAGTTGCAGCTTAGTCACTTTGAATCTGAGGGCACCTAAAGGAGGCTTAGCATAAGGTATTCCTTGAAAGCTGTAGAATAACCGGTCGTTAAAGGCTGTTCCTACTTTTCCCCGAAGTTTACCATTGGTTGTAGATACAACTGGCCCTTCTACGTTTTTTAATCTTTTGTATATATTTATTACTTTTCTGTGGCCGGGTAAATAGTGACGTATCACAGTCAATAGAAGTATTCTGAAAAGGAAATGAAATTAGTTCAACACTACTATCTCTTTAAAAGTATGATATTATATTCTAATTATAAAAGAAGAAGGAGTTTCTGTCGGAGCAGAAAAATTTCATATATTTTTCGAATATTAAATTCGATTCAACAAAATATATTTTAAAGCAAATAACCAATGGGAAAAATCGCTCCCTCACCATTAATAAGAAGCTTAAGTTCAAGTGTTTATATGTTTTTACTATTTTTCTCTACATCTACACTCAGCGCACGGAGAGTACGGGGTTGTACTTTTCTACTCTGGCAAGAGGTGAAAGCCGATCTTTAGTTATAATCATGACAAGTACGAAAGTTGAAACCTCAGTAGGTTAGGACACTTATGAAAACCATTACTCATCCGACTAACTTAAAGTTCTTTGACCATGAAAATACATTTTACATAATTTTAAATGCATTATTCTAGAAATAGAAATTAAAACATAATCACAAACCCGTATAAACAAATTAAATGTGCTTAACAATTCTTACTCCAATAATCAAGTTATAAGCGAGTTAATTATGTGGACTGGATAAAACTAGTTTAAATAATTAATTTATATATGAAGATGAGGATTTAATAGTTACATCAAATTTCAATAAGACATTTTTATCAGCAATGACAATTTGACAATAAGTTTAAACTAATTGTGTTCAGGATGTAACAGATCGGCTTCATTTCTTTTTAACAGAGATTCGCATAACAGAGGGGATATTTTATATTTTCGAAAAGCAACAAAATTTCCATAGCTCGTTATCACGCAGTTATTATTTCTTAAATAAATGATAATAATTCATAATAAGATACATTTTAAGTTTTTCCTTTAAATTCTACGGATAGTAATGTACATAATTTTCAAAATCCGTATACTATACTTATTGTTAAAAACTAGTCATAACATAACATTAGACTACGCCAAATTACAAAAAAGTGAACTTTTGATACAGCACGAATTGCAGATTATTAAATAGTGGAGTCGTATCTCATTATTTTTATATTCATCGTGCATGAGTTATCTCAAAATTTGTATATTATTTAGTAGAAGCATGTACAAACATTTATGTAATATCAGTTTATACAAAAACCTGTGTTTTATTGAATGTATATTACGTAAATCATTTAGTTTCTCAGTTGCAGTAGTAAAATAGACGACTCGTACGACATTGAAAATTTAGCAAATTTTGTACAAATAACAACAATCAGAAATAGCACGCAACGCCTTGAACGTGCTGTGTTTTAATCAAGAATTTTTGTTTTAAACGAAATAAACGATGTTTTTTTGTGAACGCACTTTGAACTGTTCTTTAATGAAATAATAACAGAGTCAACAATGAATCTAAAATATTTCACTTTAATTTTACCACACAAGGTTACATTTCCTCTGCTTTTCGTCTGCTGTAAAGTAAACATGACGAAATACGAATATATGTATTATTATAATTTTATATCCATATTTTTCCATTGTATCCTACGTTTTTAATGTTCCTTGAGACTAAATCATTCGATCTAATGTCCCATTGTTAGATTTTGTTTAGGTCATGGTTTAGTTTTTAGTACGAAGGCGTATGGGCAAGCTGCGGTTTTACAGTATATTCAATGTCAGGGGCTATTTGAAGAATCGCGTTTATAGACTTGCAGGAACGCATACCTAACGAAATTGCTAGCATTCGTCCAGAAATTCTCATTAACTCACTACAAAATTTTATTCAGCGTGTTTTTTACTGACAGGAAGCAAATAGGGAGCATTTTGAGCATCTTTTGTACAAAACAGAAGTTTAATTTTGGTTTCTCTTTCACTTAGATACTTATAATAATTAAACTAATTCAATTTTCTTTAAGTTGAGACACAACACAAAATTCATCAAGGTTAAAGAATGCTTTTCTCACCAGAAATAATTTAATTCTTTTTTTGAAAACCTCTTTCCTCAAGCTTTTTATAACAGGAGGAAGAGCGTTATAAAATTTACCAGCAAAGTAGTCTGAATCTCTTGACTTATTAATACGTGTAAAGTTAGGGCGAAAGAGATCACAAGATGTTGCCATATACATATGATTGGCAGTGTTAAATTCTGAAATACGAGAATGAATATAAGTTAAACAATGAAGTATATAATCGGAAGGAACGGTAAGGATCCTTAAATTTTTTAATACATGTCGACATTCCTGTCTATATTTCAGACTAGCTATGACACGTATATATTTCCTTTGAAATGAAAAGCCAACACAAGAATGATACACAGTCAACAATCTTTCAAGTGCAACAACACCATGCATTTGTCTGAAAACAAAGAGATTTTTGGCAATTCTGTCTGGAATATAGTCCACATGAAAATTCCATCTCAAAGTTGTGTCTAACATAATACCTAGCAACTTAATACTCTTTTTTTTGCAAATTATTGCCTAAGAGAGCAAATCAAATTTTGGCTTTTATCTTTATTGATCACTAATTTGTTACTTAAGGACCATTTAGCAAAATATTCATTAGAAATATTAAGGTTATTAATTAGCTTTGCAATATCATCACTGGTATTAGTAATTGTGGTATCACGTGCAAAGAGAGTTATTTTGCCAGTTGGTGCAGCTTGTGGCATGTCATTAATATATATAAGGAAAAGTATGGGACCCAGTACTGATCCTTGTGGGACATCTTTCTTAATATACGTTATCTCTGATTTGTCACCATTAACATAGACAAACTGACATCTAGAACTGAGGTAGGATTCAATGCAAGTTACGGAATTTTGGTCAATAGAAAGCCATTTTAACTTACATAAAATGTCGTGATCGACACGATCAAAAGCTTTAGAAAGGTCGAAACAAGTAACAGAAGCATATTCTTTGGATTCAAATGTCGCTAATATAATGTCATAGATTGTGTCAGCAGCAAGAGTTGTTGAAACATTAGTAACAAGTGAAATAAAGTGCTCACAAGTGATGTAATGTAATGCAATACATGTAATGACAATACGATTTTTTAAGTTAAATGGGCTCTCAGTTTGGATTTATTTTATTCTTAATTTTATGTTAAAGCTGCTTAACTGTAAGATAAAACGTCGTATATCATACGTGAGTACACGATGGTGAAGAAAACCACACTCAAATAAGCTTGAACACTCTAAAAATAGTAAGGTATCATGTAAGTTTCATTTAAAGATTAGATCACCAGATATTTCAAGATCACGCGCATTTTAACAGTAAAGAATTTTGAATAATTTATTTATCATGTAAATTTGTCCTATATTTTTCCAATTATCACATTTCGAGAGAATTAAAATTATCAAACATAAACTTGGTGTAAAGAACACCTTAAAAGGTGAATGTTTGAAAAGGTTTATTCAGAACGTTCTCTTGTAATTTAGAGGACATTTTGGGAATAGTAACATTTTGTTAGTGTTACATTGAACGTATCAAAATTAATATAATTTCCTCACCTTAAAATGAGGAAGTCATCTCAAACAATTATTAAACAGATCTTTACTGAAAGGTATGAGCTGAAATGCTTGCAGTATTGAGATAATCTTTACTGGCGTTTTCAATAATAATCAGACCAAAAATAAATTTCGGTATTTAATTTAAAGTCACACCACGTGACAACTATAAAATGATGCATTATGTACTTAGTTCTAATATTAATTTGAAAAAAAAAAAAAACCTAAAAATAAGGGTTAGAGAGCTATAATTCAAGGATGTTGGTCACTGATAAATAAACAAGAGCTTTTAAAAAAGCAGTAACAATATGTGCCAAAAAGTGTTCGTGATGCATACACTATTTTGTGTACGACCAACGAAACTCTGGTGAATTTTATCCGTTTGTGATGCTGAAAGAAATTCATCACCTATGAACGAAGCCTGTTTTTAATTTTCAAAATATGTTACTGGCATAGATATTATAATTTTGCATACATTATCATTACTTACCATTCTGGTCGTAGCAACCAGTGAATAACATTTACAACCATGAAAACATATTCGGTCGCAGACAAAATAACAAAAAACATCATGAAACAAATTTATAACTAAATATGGACAAAAAAATTTTTTTCATAAACTTAAGTAATACTTGAGAAATTAAGTACCTCACTCTAGAAGCAATTATGCTATATTTTATCTACTGTTATTATCGACAAGTGCGAAGTTCATTATTTCTGCAATATCAGTGTTTAGTCTATCGTGGTATTACTATTTAAAAAATAACGTGCAGAATATATCCGGTTATACATAAAAAATTAAGTAAATCACTGAAATCCTAATCGAAATCATTATTTGCAGTTTCAAAATCGTCTCCAAAAATATCGCTAGTCTCATCATTGACATTAATAACAAATCCTTGAAACATAAGAAAATTCAACTGTAATACAGTCTTGGATACAGTTCTTCCATAAGTCATTACTAGTTTTGAGCACGTCTTCCCTGATCACATTAATGACTTTATCGGTCAGTCTTGGTTTTTTTTTTATTTTTTATTTTTTTATTAAGCGACAGTCTGTTTACCTTTTTGGTAAAAGCACTATCCAAAGTAAATGGGGAACAGTTTGAATAATTTCTATACTAGAAATTTTTATTCCAACGTATTGTTCTGTTTATTTAATATTTATCATTAAAATCAAGTTTATTTTATTTGTTACTAATTTTCTCAATATGTTTGTTATGCAACCCCTACAACAACTACATTTTCATATGCAGAAAACTAAGCTTTATCAAATAATTCAATCAAAATTATGCCTTCCTATTAAAAAAAAATATTGATGACGGAATTTTTTGCTGCACTTTTTATGAATTTTGTGCATTACCCTGTTTAATATCTACGATAGATATTAATATTATTTTAACATAGAAAAAAGGAAAAAATTGTTATACCTCCTCTAGCGGTCCGCTCAATGCTTATAGCTGTCTTCTGTGTGATAAATTAAAAAAAAAAGATCATGATGAAGTTTTATGACCTCGGCACATAAGATCATAAAATAAAGTATACCTAGACTTTTACATCAATCATGTAAAGTGCACGAAGTATGAATACTATATTTGCATATTAAAAATATATTTTACATGAAGTGTACAGGATGTTCATTTTAACACCTGAATATTTCATGTTAGTTTTTTCAATTTTGTCATTATTTGGCATTGACATCTTTGTCTTTTTTTTTGTGATTGCTATGAATGCTTAATAAAAAAAAATACATTGGACGAAGTCGTCTCTGGGGTGTATAATATGTTGCCTATGCAAAAATTGTCAGATAAAATGAACACTCTGTATTAAAATTTGCTACAATACGAGTGTGTAAACTGTTGCTCATATTCTCCCAGAAATCGCTCTGGATTGCGGTTAAAATGTTTTATCACTGGCAGTTGTAAACAATTTCCTATACAAAGACCTCACTCTGTATGGATATTTGTATCTAATAGAAGGGAGTGTGTTTATTTATTTATTATAATGACGGCCATGTGAGTAAAACGTGATTTGGTTATTTATCTTAGGGCTGTTTTAGCAAAATCTATCATTTGACCTTTGAGTCGAGTCACACCAGTAGGACATTGTACTCCTGATTTGAGTTATCTTAATCTGGTTTTTGTCACGAATTAGATGAGGTCTGTTGAGATCATCGATCAAATGAGTCATTTCACACATTAATTACATAATCAATAAATAAAATTTCCGGAATCGAGCCGCCTCTTACTGATAAATTAATTTTTCTTTTGTGTCATAATATATTCACAAACATACCACCAGACAATGTAATAGATCTCTTTTTTCGAAAAATATTTACAACATTAGAAACTGCAATAACATCGTGAAAATAATTTATAATTATTATGAAAGCTCAGTAAATTATTATTATGTACCAAAACAATATAGCTAATTCACTACCACACACCATCTCGAGTAGTTATCAACAGATGATCATAAAAATTGTGTGTGATGACGATGCAGTGTGCTAAATTCTACACAAATTTAATTGTAATAGGTGTTTCTGATTACTTCTCTGTTATCACCTTTGTTAAAATCGTTGTAATTTTTAAGGGTGAAATATTGTGATTATGACTGAGAATTAGTTAACAATATATATGTAGAATACTAGACACAGTTGATAAAATAATCTGATTGGCTGCCTCTGCTTGAAATTATCAGCATTAAAGTTCCATAGAGATCAATATTTTTAAAACTTATGTAATACCACTAGTACCTACAGTTGCACACTTGAAACAACAACGTCACTGTGTGAAATCTTTTTAACTTTTTTGGACAAAATCAGAACATGTAAACCGCGAATTGCGTTTAAAACGAGCACTTGACATAATTATTTCGCTCTTGAAATAATGAAAGTATATAATCAAAATCTACAACACCGTAAAGAGGATGTAATTATTCTCAGCGGCAATACATGTGTGTAAAATTGCCTCACTTAACGATTCAGATTGTAAATTTTATTAAACCATTACACCATTTACAGTTATTCATTCCGTACCTAAACGAAACTTTTGTGTGCTTATTGACGTGCCTAAATTATCTTATTTGCGATTTGTTTCCTGAAAACACATATTTAATCAAGTTATACGTAAGAGTGAAAGTAAAAATCATCATTATTTGATTTGAAAATGTTTAGTTGAAATTGTGTTATCAGTTTTAAGAAACCTAATTGTTCAATCAAACATTACAAAGAAGAGTTTGTGCGGTCATGGTTTGGCAATGAAAATACCGGGTTTCATTAAAATGTTGATTTCCTGTTGCAGCACATTAATTAGAAACCGCCGAATTCATTCATAATTGAGTATATTTATTTTAAAATAATACTAACTTTATTATGTAAATGTTTTTAGCAAGAGCCTTCCACATGACATTAATTTTTGCCAAAACCATCTTGTGTCACTTTTTATCACAGCATTACTCTCACATAACATTCACTCTATATCACACATAACACTGGAACATGTGCGGATATTACATAGGTGTGATCAATGTACAAATGTCTGCATCACGATTCGAGGACCGACGCAGGAGGTATCCAATAAAATAAAAGCTGAATTTATATAGTAATCATAGGCAACCAGAAATACACTAGCGTGTTTAAATCGCGCTCTTGTAATACAGTGAGACTTAATAAATCGAACTGCGATAGCTCAAAATCCGTTTTATTATTTGAATATTCAAAAATGGGGTTCCAATTTAGAATGAAAATGATGGTGAATTCAAATTTGTCAATGTTTGTTTTAAAAGTTTAGATAATCATCCACCTGTGATATTATGTATTTAATAAATATAGGCTAAACGGCCAAAATCAATAAAGTTTCCAAAACTTCGAAAATAGAAAAAAATGGGGAAGACACATTTCATGTATAAAATTAACGTCACAACACACTGAAAAAAATGTCTAGGATTTAAGATTCAATGTTACTTATTACTACCAAAGACTGGACTCTAGGGCAAATGCCTTTTCATTTTGGTTGTAGGTAAATTCATGAAAGTTGTATATAAATTTTGTGTAGCTGTGCCTTTTTCGACCCTATTTTACTTTTTTCTGCTTATTTCAATTTCCAATGTGAAGAAAGTATTTCTTAAAGCTCATTTGAGGATCCAAGCCATCCCGGAAGCCTTACCAGATTGTGCATTGCCTCCAGAACCTGTTCTGTCAGAATGGGGTTCATGGATTGAAGCGACAATCTATTATTGCAATCATTTTGGCGATATAAAAAAGGTTAATTTTTTTATTATTGGAATTCATAATTTTGTTGTTATAATTTTAAATTAAATTAAACATTTTGGGTTATTATGGAATATGATTCCACAGTGTCTAAATGTATCGTCCACGCTTAATACTATTTCTAACATAATTTGGCTTATATAAAAACCCATTTTATCATCTTAAAAAAAAGTGTAATTAGATTGCAGACCACTGAGCTGACTTTAAGTCAGTCTGTGGATATATTGTAGAACAATTGTATAAACGAGTGGAAGATACCCCGGGGAAAGGGGGTGAAATGGCATTTAAAAGGCTGCAAGATACTTTAGAAAAAAAATACCGGGACTCAAGAGCTTAAACTTGTCAACAAAGTATTACAAGGCGTCAATGTAGACAAAGATTTTTATATTGTATTCTATTTATTCTACCTATGTACATACATTTAGTTGACTCAGTACAGAGGAAGTATCTTAAATTACTTTCATTCCTAATCGACGGTGTTTATCGTCCTCAGGGATATGATCACACGGCTCTGCTGGCCAGGTTTAGTTGTAGCCTTTTTCACACTAGCTGTTTCATTTTTAGTATTAAACTCCTACATAGCCTTCTCACCTACAAAACCGATTGTATTCATTTGTTGAGTAAAATTGTAATTCGGATTCCTAGATTTTAATAGTAGAATAGTAGTGGGTTTCGACTATTGGGCCAAGTCGACAGCGTTACGTCATCTCGACCGCCCCTGAATTCTATTCTAACCTGCATCTTTCGTGCAGATATCGCGATAATTCCCGGCAACTCGACTAGGAACCGCGCACTCCGCTTCCGCCAAGTGTTTCTGTATTATTTAACCTCAATTCCATTCAAACGTTTAATTCTTATAACTCTGATATTAACGACAACTGAACAAGTGTTAAAGTTTCAAAAAGAGCAATAAACAACATTTAAATTCACAATACAATCTTGTGAAATTTTAAACAACAAATAATTCTGATTTGAGATTAAGATTGGACAGATTTATAAAAACAAAAGATCTGGTGTGAAATAAACTTGTGCAAATAAAAATATTGCGTGAGGTTAAAACTGCAGAGCATGAAAGTTTACATTCAATTTAAATTATACAACAAAGAAAATTACTGAGGTTAAAATTGTGAGGTAGAGAAATATTGTATGAGGTGAATTGCAAAGCTAACAAAATTACATGAAATTTATATTTGCCACACTTTATCAACTATTCAAACATAGAATTTACATTACGTTATATGTCTTGACCCAAGTGATTGGTTACTTAAAACAATTAGCTTTGAGAGTTTATAATATCGTGAACTGCTTATCCCAAACAAAACACATAATAAATAAACACAAAAATATCCATTCATCGTTGCGAGAAAAAACGTCAAACTGACGTAATTTTTAACGTTGCGAGGAAATGCCTGGGTGATGTAATCTTTAACGTTGCGAGGAAATGCCTCGGTGATGTAATGATGATAATAACGATGATAACTGTCTAAGGAGAGAAATCTTTAATACTCCCCGTCAGTTCACGATATTATGAACTGTTAATTTAGCTGCCGTTAATGAACTATTAGCGATCTTGTGTGAGAAATTAACAAGTTTTATAATGTAACACTTAAGTATTAGCATCCGGAAACCTTATTCATAATTAGACAAACAAAATCCTGACTCAGTGAATTTCATGAAATCTCCTAGCAGTGATTTATTTAAGCAGTTTCCTGATTGTTAAATTGTGTTAGAACAAGTTAACGATTAAACTCCTAACATGAACTGTGAATTTACAAACAATTACGATTAATTTTCGTTAAACAAAGGCTTCCTCCCTTTTATTAACTACCAAACCACCTAAACCTAATCTAGCTTCCTTACCGCACACACAACAACCAAAAACACACTGACGCTTTTACCTCCCTCCACCAAGCGGCCATCTTTTCTACCAACCAACCCTCTAACTACCAAGCAGAAGTACCAACTACCAGAAAAAGAACTAATGTGCACAAGGCCTATGTTCAAGGATATTTTTTATTGATTTTTTTTTCAAATTCAAATTATTCATATGTGATTTCGCGCCGCTGTTAATTAATTTCAGCGCGAAAATTTGATTCAAATTTGGTCACCACAAGATCTACATTTATTTTATTATTTTACATAATCAGCGATCCTAAAGGTCGTTAAAATTTGCTTAACAAATTAGATATTTTTCTAAATCTTCGTCAGAAAAATGTTTCCTTTTGTCTGTTAGGACATTTTTATAGAGAAGAATCCCTTAACATCACACGATGTTAAAGGAGAATATTTAAAATTATAAATTTCATGGGTTTCATTTTAATATAACAATAGCAGTAGTAAAATCGGAACAGTTCCTGTAAATGAAACCAAACATTTTGTGGGCTTTGCTGACAGGATCAAGGATATGATTTCTAAAAGGGGAATTTATAGTTAAATGTAACACCTAAAACTTTTGAATAAGTCCAGTCTGCTTAAGACCACCGAATCAATCGAATATTCGTAGATGGTAGTTTATTCTTTCCTGGAGTAGCTGACAACAACACGTTTGATGATATTTAAGAATAAACGATTTTTGTTCGCTCCATATAAATAATAAGTGTAAATTGTCTTGTAAAAGCCTTGTATCGTATTAAGTGTCAAAAATAGTTTAAGATCATCATCGAAAAGCAGTTTTTGGCAGGTCAGCAGATCCACAATATCGTTCGCGTATAGTAAAAAGAGTAATGGCCCTAGGTTGGACTCTTGCGGCACACCAAAGGTGGAACAAAAGCCGTCAGAAACAAAACTCTGATATTTAACAAAAAGTTTACTCTCTAGGAGGCAAGATTTAAACAATTGAAGCAATGAGTTAGAAAGACCAAATGAGAGCGCTAAGTTTCGCAAGGAGTGCATAGTGATCAATCTGATCAAAAGCTTTGTTAAAAGTCGGTGCAAATGACATCCACTTGACTATTATCATCAATAGCTCCTTTTTACGAATCCATGTTGAAACGGAGATAAAGCATGATAAATTTTTAATCAAAATATAATTGCCGATCCTCTCCAAAAAATTCATGATGTCAGCCCAAAATTTTGCCGAATAAATCCTATCTAAAATGTGCAACAAAAGATCAGTTTATACTTGTAATTTATCACTGCATTCATATTTTTTAGATTTGTTTATACAGGGTGACGCAAAACAGTTAATGAATCGGTCAGTCAATTTTCGGAATACCAAACTGTTATTTTAGTATTATACAGCACCAATCCAACTTGATATACGTGTCCTTGCAAAGATGTTGAGTCCGTCATCACAAAATTGTGTTAAGAAAAAACTCGACTCGAAAATGCTGGATATGTTGGTATTATAAACATTTCAATTACATTTCATACAGCAGTAAAATACAAGAATAATGAAATAAAAAAACTGGTAAATAAATAAAACTTATAGGGCCGGTTTATAGAAAGCGAATTAAAAATTTAATCCCCGATTAATTTAACAGAGGATTAAAATGTAGAATATGAGCCTGTGATTGGTTAAAACATGCACGTTGCCTAGCAACGGACCTCAACTAAAAGTTAATCGCGAATTAACTTTAATTTGCTTTCTATAAACCGGGTCACAGTCTTTAAACAATCACAATTTATGGACTAAATTTACATTTAAAACGTTTTTCCAAAATACCATTCTGTTAGCTTCCGGGTTACTCCCAACAGTTAACTTTTTTCCAATATCCAGAAAATTAACGTCACTTTTGGTAACCGGATTCCAATTTACGTCGATAACAGAATTGTTTTCATAAGAATTTGGGTCATTAAACTTTGCAAAGTTTGTCCATAGCGCAACAAATCTTTTGATGGCCAGTTCTTCGTCGCTTCCTGGTTTTATGTTTGGAGTCACCATGTTTTTGAACAGATAACCTAAATCATCTGCGTGACAAACACCTGAAAATATCTACATTTTAAAAATCGTCATACCTATAATTATCATAAATAATTTAACAAAACCTTCAGAAGTTACATACCTGGTTCATTGATCATAGCAATAGTTTTCATCATATTTAATCTTGTGTCTATAGACATTCTGTACAAAAACACGGGAGACGTAGATGTTTCTACATGAAGTTTAGCAGCCAATAACAATTCTCTGACGAAAAAGTTGTCACTATGCAGCTAAAATAATTTCATTCTTATTTTATAACTCACGTATAAAAATATGTGTATTACCAAATAAAATTTATCCTTATTTTTTGACGTCGGTTTTTCATTTCCATAGTAAAATTCTTTAATTTGTTGAGCAACTAATTTTGACCTGTCTGACCCTAGTTGAAGACCAAGAAAATAAGGAACGGCCTTTTCGAAATCAGTGATGGGTTTAAAAGGTTTAGGTTTTTGAAAAACTTCACCAAGCATTCCTTCTCTGTTAGTGTAACCCATAATAATAGGCACATGATTATACCTGCCAGATTTGAGAATTTCCAGTGGATCTTCAGTCAAAAAAGCTCCGTCAGCTTTTTTTTCGATAACTGGGCCGTATGGTCTAACTACGCAAGCAATAAAAGGCTACAACAGACACAATTTACTGAAGGCCTTGTTAATATATTAACTTACGTCAGGAATCTTCTCCGCTGCTTTGTATAGATCTTTCACCGGTAGAGTTTCCAATATATTTAAAATTTCCTTTTCGTTTGTAGTCTGTAAGTCTAAAATATCAGCAATCTGTCTGGTCACGTTTCTGCCTTTAGCCCAGATGTTTAAAGCACAACCACTCTGAAGAATAGCTTTATGGAAAAGCCCTTTGGCCATAGGAGAAAGAATAAGGTAATGTGATGCAGCTGCTCCTGCACTTTCTCCAAAAATGGTCACGTTGTTTGGGTTTCCAGAAAAGTAGGAAATATTTTCTTTTACCCATTTAAGCGCCATCACAATATCTTTGAGACCAGCGTTGCCTGGTACATCCAAGTCAGGATCTTCCAAGCTAAGAAACCCTTGATGAATATATTAAGGTAATTAGAATTAAACCACAACGTGTATATTGTGTTACCGAATATTCCAAGTCTGTAATTAATTGTAACCAAAACTATGTCTTCGGTCATCAAAAATTCGGGTCCATAGACTTCTGTACCTCCTGAACCAGAGACAAAACCTCCGCCGTGTATCCACACCATTACCGGCTTGTCCCTTTTTTCATTTTTTTCCTCAGGTAGCTAAATTACATTTATAAAACGATTTGAGAATAACTAATGAAGAATAATTACTTGTGGAGTATAGACATTAAGAGTCAAACAGTCTTCGCCACCTTGAAGCATTTTAATAATGGGAATTCTTTGAATTGAACTGCTGCCCTCACGAGTAGCATCTCGGATACCAGTCCAGGGTTCTGCTGGTAATGGTGCCTGTACAACCGTACTGTTTATATTGTTTTCCAGTTAACATAATTTACCTTAAATCTGAGACGACCAAGTGGCGGTTTGGCATATGGAATTCCTTGGAAACTGAGAAACTGACTGTTGTTAATGCTGGTACATGTTTTGCCGCGAAGTTTACCACTTGAAATTGTTACAACTGGTCCCTTCATTCTGAATATGTTTTTTAGAAATTTAAACATTATAATAACTTGTATAAATTATGGATTTATCATTAACTGCCGAAAATTGTATAACTTACGTGTTATAGATATTCCGATAATTTTTAACGAGTAATAATTGTAAAGCAAATGTGTTTTAACTGCGTTGTGTTGTAGGTTTATGACAACTGCGTTTACGATTTAATCAGAGGGGTCAAAGATTAAGGTACAATCGGATAGTCAGAGATATCACATAGTTTAAACGTTACAAGACAATTTTTACTACACATACTAATATTATATAATTATGTAGAAGTAGTGAATCAGCATAAAACGTTGTTGCCATCGGGCAACTGGTTATTTCGTGACTCCTAAAGTACGAAGAAAGGGTTTCCCGCTTCCGCCTGTCTGTCATCTGTGTCGATTTTTATTAGACGGATAATCTCCAAAGCTACCGAACCGATTTGAGAAGAAAACCAAACTACATCATGGAGTCCATGGTTACCTTATTGGTCGTCAATACTCAAATGAATTCAAACTTATGTGATTTAATTTTAGTGCGAAATGAAACACTAAATAAATTAAATACCGTGTACAACGAACGGATAAAAACAGAACTATGTCATACGGATGGCTAATAAATAACACTGTGTGTGACTCAAGGTGCACCTAGTACACTTTGTGTTGTAGTCATCTAAAAATTATCGCAGTAGTACCTAATAGTTGGGATAGGTCATAGTAACATGACTATATTTAGACTGTAGTGCGAACACATCAGTTTCAGAAAGAATGAATGCGCGAATATTTAGTTTTAGATTAAAAAATTACACTATTAACATTTCATACATGTTTTTAATTTCCGAGCGTAAGCTAAGGAAGTATTGTCCGTCGGGTGACTGGATACTTGCATGTTTTTTCGAAGTGTCATGACCTCCTGAATACGAACAAATAGTTTCCCGTTTCCGTCTGTCTGTGTACCCGCCGTCTTTGTCGATTTTTGTTAGTCAGATAATCTACGAAACTACCCGACTATGTTGTCAAATTTTATATATGTATTTGTCTTTGTCTAATGAGTTTTAAATTTTACAAAATAACATACTTCTACATCAAATACAAATATATCGTTTATTCGACCCAAAAATTTAATAACGTCATCTCAGAAGTTTGCTGAATAAATAGTACCACAAATATGCAAAATATGATGAGTCTGTATCTACTTGTGTTTTATCATTGCCTTCATATTTTTTGAAATTGTTTACACAGGGTGTCTAGAAAATTAATTAATGAATCAATTTATTTAATTGAGTAAATCAGGAACGGCTCATTCTATTTTCCCAAAAATTTGGGATTACAATATTGATATTATGAGTCGTATTACATTGCACCTGTCCCAACTGAGGTATTTGTCCTTGACATAAGGTAATCATAAAATTTTGTAATCTAAAACTCGCTTGAAACATACACATTGCATGCTTCTTCATCTTCACGTTAACATTACCTGCATTACTTTATTTAATCTTATCATTAAAAAATAAAATTAGCACAATTAAATATTATAATTTTTCGAAAAAGCTGGATTTATTGTATTGTAAAATGTAATTTTGAGTAATTTATTTTGTCTTTATCGGAACTGAAAAATTATTATGGATCATTTTCCTACTAAGACATTTGCAGACATTAAGGCAGAAAGCAAGAAACACTGTTTAGATTCATTGGGAACAGTTACCGTCGCACTATTTTATTATGATTATAAATATCATGTACTTAGTACGATATTATGGTTTTGGAAGTGTCGTTTAATTTTGCATATCTCTTTATTTTGATATACCTAGTTATTGTCGAGTTTATTGTTTTTACAGTCGTATTATTTATCAGTTAAAAAATGCTTACCTTCTTCACTAGTAAAAACACGAATATCTGTTTTATTTAAACTCTATTTATTTTTAATTTAAACCATAATTATGTATTACATGTCAAAACACTTCAGTCAACAGTTTATTAAAGTTGTTATGAAGTCGAGGTAGATAACAATATCACTCGTCGAAAAAACACATAATTAACATTGTATCAGCTGCTTTATTGTTAGTTTTTAATTTTGATGTAACCTTGAACGAAGTAACACGATTACAGAGGTATGTTGTGAGGTGGGTAACACAATTCAAGGTCTGAAACAAAATTATTTGTGGTTGCCTACATAATGGATACGTGACAATAGTAAATAGTAAAATAAAGATCCCTAGGGATAGTGAGGTATAAGAAGTCGGCTAGGCTCAGTGATAGTACCCAGTAAACCTTTTTATGTGTCTGAAATGTGTCAAAAACAATCATTCAGAAACATGAAACGTTTCTCACAGAGCCTGGACACATTTCTGGAACATCCCGGCAACCAAAAATGTCCCACCCTTATTATGTTTCATTTCAAACGTTTCATGTGAAACCTCTTTGAAACATTTCATGTGAAACGTTTTTAAAACAGCTTTGAAACATCTTGTATAAAACATCTTTTTAGGTATCAAGAATGTTTCATCAAGAAATTAATACCTGTATATTTTTAATAGCTATGCTATAATTTAATACTAGACATATATACATATGTGTATGTGGATTATATTATCATATATACTTACCTACTGAAATTTGGTTTGGGGTTCGAAATACGGGCTTCTTTTATCACGACCTCAACAAAATATTATTTTTTAATATCTTTTAGTAGAATTCATTAAATCCACAAACATACATAAATAACTAAATAAAAAATTCTTTTAATAAATAAAATAAACACTGAATAATACTACTCAATTTTTTGGAATATGTATTTATTACATATATGATATGGTAATTTTAAACAAAAGTAACTTACAAAGTGCACAGTTAAAATAAAACAAAATACAAAAAATATAAAAAAATACTGACAGGAAGTTAAAGTTATACATACAACTATTTCTCAAGTTTTCTCGTGAAGCGAAGATTTGCTTGTCTCAGCCATGTAGAAACAGTTAATTCAAATATTTTGTCGGTTAATAACGGAAAATTTTTTCGAACTGCATCTAAAATGTACTTTAAATCAATAAAAATAATAAACACATACATATTATTACTTTTTAGTACATCCATAATGATCAAGTTAGACACTTGAAAATTATTTTTTCTACCCAGCCAAGAGCATTTACGAGCCAATTTATCATCAAATATGCGGCGCAAACCCCTTTTTATATTTTCTTTAGTGGAGTTGCCTCCACATAAGCGGAAAATGTTGTCCTAATTATTTGATTTAAATTTTAAATATATACGTATGAACACATTAGATATTGCATATTTACCAGTTCTTTTCTGGCGTCCTCGCCAGATTTTAATCTTTCTTCGTATTCACATAACAGCCGGTACTTTGTAAAAGGTTGTATACATGTATTACTAATACTGTCAGTATTATGTAATGGGGTATGTGTAGGATCATTACTAATTTTTTGTAATAATCTTTTCACCATAATTTCTACCCGAGTGGTTTTTCTTATAATTTCATTTAGTTTGTCTACAATTTGATCTACAAATATAATAGCTATGTGTAATTTTCAGTTTCAATTTTATTTAAACTTACCATCAACATTACATGGTTCAGTAATGATTAAGGAGTCTTGTGGAGAAGTATTAACTTCTGAACCTAACGATACTACAAAATTAAAAACTTAAAGTACGACGTTTTGATATTGTAATCTACGTACAGGTCGCAGGTGAATCATTATTATTACGTTCCAAGCTTCTTACTGATACTAAAACAGAACTACAAATATAAGTATAAATGAACGATTTCTGATGAAACACCAATTGCTGTACGAATGATGTTTAAATATTATTAGTTGTAAGTAAATATCCCACAATCGTAGTTTTACTTCTGGGCTGATCTAAGTAGCAAATCAAATAAAAAGAAACGAAGACTAAAACGATAATTATAATGATAAGACTACTGTAAGTAGGAATTGTTAGCGTAAAAACTATTTCTTTCATCAGCATTATGAAATTTTAGCTGGTATTAAAAATGTAATTAATTTTATTTATGCCTTAAATAAACTTCGGCCAATATACTTTTTACAAATACTTAATAAATAACAGCAAAAGCATATATGGTTAACCGTAAAATCACAAAGACTTTACAACCTTAGTGATGCTGCCTAAAATTTTCTAAAATATTACAACAGTATGTTATAAATAGCTGCCCTAGTTTTTCGTGACACCAGTACAAATTTTAGTTCATAATTTTTTACTGCATACACACCAGTTTCGTCTTATACAAAATAAATTTATAATTAAAAGATAATTAGATTAACAAGTACGAACCTGATGAACGTGATTTATTGTTTCTCGTTATGCAATAGTGGTATAAAAACCAACGTTTCTTCATTGATGATATACTTCAGGCATTTTTGTTTAATATCGTCACACTGTATCTTACACAAATCTTGAGATAAATGGTTTTGTGTTGTTACTATATTAAAAAATTCTTGAGAATTGCAAGGTTCAGTGTACAATGATGATAGCGGATATAATTTTTTGCCATAAAGAAAAATGTTATTGTTGTAGGAGATGAAAAGTTTTAAACTAAAAGAACACATTTTTTTTTTTCGATGTATTGTGTTTGTGAGGGCGTTACATTATTTCTTTACCAGTTATCCACATTATCAAACGTCAGATTTTAATATAACATAAATTATAAACTCACTTTTAAGTCGTCAGTGTTGATAGCTGATTAATTACATTTACAGCCTGGTCAGGAGGGCTGGTGTCGAGGTGAATCGGTCATTACAACAATTATGCACCCTGTAAAATGCAATTGGGGATGTGAGCCATCGATTCCTAAAGTCGATGTGGCGAATTTGCTAATTGGGTGATACTCTTTAATAGCGAGTCCGTGTCATTTTGACTTATCAACAATCAACAAGTTTGGTACTACTTTATCATGAATATGACTGCTTTAATTAACAATTATTTCATCAATGAGCTCTGTCCAAGAGGTTGGAGTCACAACGGTCGAAATTGTCCGGTACGGAGTGTGCAATGAGTACTAAGGGAAAAACTGAAGACGCACGAAGTACTCGCTCTCGCTACCGACAACAGGGTACAGTACTGAGTCGTGCAATGGGCGAAGGGAAATGAAGGCGCACGACGCCCCGCTCCAGTTACTGTCCCAGGACTAGTACCAAAGAGTGCAAGGACACCAAGGGAAAAACTGAAGACGCGCGAGGTGCCCACTTCGATAACTAGTCCTTTGACCACAAGGCATCAGGATTGATGCCCGCACCGTATCTGCCTACAACAGACACATCCGCCACAACGGATTTTATTCTGGCGCCTGCGACAACAGGCGCGTCCCGCACCAACGGGCATCCGCAACAACGGATAACAGGTCCCGCTACAACGGGCGTCCGCGACAACGGACAAAGGTATCACAGGAGGGCGGACAGTCTAATTAAATTAGCTCGACATGTCAAGGCTCATTTCATCACTTTTACTATTGCAATATCTCTCAGAATTATGTTAACATTATTTGACAACTGACTCGGTACCACTTATCAATAATCATGTCAAATGCAACAACAACAAGGAACGGACTCACCAAATCACAGTAGATAATCCAATTAGCTTTTACAACAATTAACAATGCAGATTACACCTTAGTGCAATCTCACTCACATCACCCCTAAGACCGATAACTCAGTGATACACTCACCTCAACACTTTTTGATCAACCGCAACACGTAATATTAAAATCGTCTTAACCGGTACGCGTCCGTTTTAAAACTGAAATCTTTATCCAGGCCTTTTTAGTTACACCCTCTCGAAAGAAACACAGTCAACCAATCAACCCCAATCAGGTCTATTTTTTTGGGTCACACATGTGGTTTCTGTTTTCGCCTGTGACTGCGATAATCTCAGATTTGTCTCGCTCAAGTGTTAAGTCGCCGGACCACCTGCACCCCTGCATCGCAGGCCATTAGTAGGCGTGTGAAAGGGCATAGGCCATTCCCCAGTTTCTGGGAAATATATATTTTTACGAGCCCCAAATTAGCATGAAACTCTTAACTGCATGCTTTTACACCCCAAATATAAAAAAATATGAAGAGAAACACATGTTAAGTACAAACCTATCTTACATTGTTGAAATTTTTAGCAATATACTTGACACAAAATATACTGTTATCACTTAAAAGGACAAAGTTATCTTTGTCATTTATTATAATTTGAAAATTTTTCAATTTTAATTTCTTAAAGCATGTAATACAGGGCTTTCATAAATGATTCTAAGGGCGTAGTTGGCCATGGATTTCAAAAATGCCGCTTTGCTGAAATTGTCTCATTTGACAGTTCTCACTTGTCATTGTGCTTGTCATTTGTAACCTGTCACTTAAAATCATCGCTTTTATTGTTCTACCACTTTCCAAGTGTGATTTACAGTAATTCTCGTTGATCCAAGTTTAAAACAACAAAATAGCCTTTTTTCAAGGCTCTTGGTGCTTGCGTGCGAAAACTTTGTGCTCGAAGCGAAGACCGTGAAAATGGTTTATTCGGTTGAGCAAAACACTTTCATCGTTATGTCTTATTATCGCAATGGGACATTCGTAGACGAAGCGTGGCTGTATTCTGTAGCCGCTTGTAAGCAAGAATATCTGGCCAATTACCCTGATTTGGAAATTCAAGAAACATCATTAGAGGCTCACATTAGAGATGTCATCAACAGATTTGTTCGCACTGGCAATGTCAACAAAGGGAAATCTTCTGGGAGACCTGCAGTATCTGAGGAAGTTGTTGATGATTTGAGAGAAAGACTCGAGCAGAATCCCCAAACATCTTTGACAAGATTATCTCAACAGTCAGGAGTTCCCGTAACCACATGTCACAAAGTAGTGAAAAAACGATTGCATATGCATCCTTACAAAATAACTACTGTGCAACAACTTTTACCAATAGATCCTCCACGCCGCGTAGAATATTGCAATTGGTTTCAGAATACTTTTCATGATGACGGGTTACTGGACCTTACATTTTTTAGTGATGAAGCATGGTTTCATTTATCTGGCTATGTCAATTCACAAAATTTTAGAATTTGGTCCGCGGAAAATCCACATGTTTTTGTAGAGACGCCTCTATTCGACCTATTTTCTTTCATGATACTATGACTGGAGAGAGGTATAGGCAACAGATTTTGGAACCATTTATTCAACAACTTGATGACGAAGAGCTGCAGTAAGGGTACTTTCAACAGGACGGCGCGACTGCACACACTGCACGTGCTACATTGGAATATTTACAACAACATTATGACGATCGTGTAATAAGTTTAGGAGTGCAGCATGCATTTCCACCACGTTCCCCAGATCTTACGCCATTGGACTTTTCAATATTTGGATATTTGAAAGACAAAGTGTTTCAACGGCAAATGAATAACTTGGCAGAGTTGCAACATGAAATTGAACGATGGGTTCAAAGCATTGATGGAAGGATGTTACAGAACATTTTTGAAAGTAAGAAAAAGAGAGTGAATATGTGCCTTGAACTAAATGGTGAACATTTTCAACATTTACTGTGATGTTTAACCACAATAAATTTGTTTGTTTATTCCATTATGAATTATTTTTATTTTTAACAACAAATTGACTATCAAGAATGTTGGAGTTCCGCGCATGAGGGTAACAAATTACGCCCGCGTAATTTCAAATGTTCAAATTCTATGTGGGTGACCTAATTTTGCATTGAAACGAATCTGTACACAAAAAAAACAACAAAAATCAAAAACTAGTCTTTAAAATTAGCAACGAAAGTATATTTTGAAGCTTGATACTTAAAATTAAATCACACTACGTTCTAAATACCTATTATAACCGTAAAAACTCTGATTATCCGTGTTCGTTCACCCATCTGGTGGTCCTTGATTTTATATGACTCTACGATGAGGGTTTAGAAGCTACCCAGCAGTCAAAGTTATATTTGGATTTTTATCTTTTACGTTTATACATTTTCGTTGAATATGTACTTTTGTGGCGGGAAGTGAAATATTAATTTTGTAATATACTATTGTTTTGTGGCTAATTAAAGAATTTCGTGTAATTTTTATGAAAAGGACAATGGACAGATGAAGTTCTATTAGTTTATTAAGTAAAAACAAGCACTAGACATGACAAAACATATTTCAGTATGAGCATCCAAAAGTTTGAAGTGTTAACAAAATGTGCTTATTGTGTGAAATAATTTCAAGTACAAATCGACATCTAAGATATTTTCACGGCGACAATTTCAAAAATATTAAAAACTAGCAGAATAATTTGTCCGCTATGCTTTGAAAACTTTCAGCGTTTTCACTTATTAACGAATCATTTCAACATCGTTTATAACATTGAGTTGGAAGTAAAGGATCTACAATTTAAGAAAACGGAAGATTTTTTTACACGAAAAGCAGATTTAGAGTTAAAAACTAATTCTTTTATATGACGAATTATTATTTTCTACTATGAATGTCAGAAGTAATCTAGCAAATTCTGTTAGTAAATGTAATATACGAGCTCCTAAAATTAGTGGCAGTATCAAAATGCAAGGAGTCTGTCCTTCACGAATTACAGCTCACTTTGATCATTCTTCCTCAGTGGTACTTGTTCAGTTTATTGCTATTCATGTTGTTCATCACAATGATCTTCGCTGTTAACCCCTGACTACAAAAGAAACGACATATCTAGTTGAACAAATTCGCACTGGTGTAACACACGAAAAAATAATTGAAACTGTTAAAAATCTA